CCCACCTCCGCCTTCCTGCCTGTCCCCTTTTCCTTCATAGAACGAAACTCCTCCTCTTTGCTCCTCTCCGCTTTCCCTACCTCCGCTCACTTCAGCCCCACTCTCCCCTTCCTCTCCTTCCCTCCCTTCCCTCTTCTCTGCCCACCTTTCCTTCCCCTCGCCCCATCCCTTCCCCCTCTCCTCCCCTCCCCTTGCCACCTTCCCTCTTCACTGTCCACACTTCGTGTCTACGGTTGTGTCTTCCTGCTCTTCCTTTTGAGAAGTCTTGAAAGTGACTGTCATTACCGCCAACCTTCACCTCTTTTCACAATCCCACACTCACTCACTTCATTCTCGCTGCGTCCCCTGTTCTCCCAGCCTGAACGAGAGTAGAGAGGTGGCACTGCAGCGGCTGCAGCAGCAACGGAGGACGCAGGTGAAGCAGGTAGCGCTCTTTGCTCTGGCTGCATCTGCTGTCGCAGGCTTCATGTGGTGGAGGTGAGAACTGGAGGGGGTTGGGTAGGTCTTATGTGATGAGAACGGTAGCGCCTTTGCTCTCGCTGCATCTGCTGTCGCAGGCTTTTGTGGTGGAGGTGAGAACTTCAGGGGTGGGGAGGGGTATATGGTGGATACGGGAGTGCCCTGCTGCTGCTGTCGTAGGCTTCATGTGGTGGAGGTGAGAACCGGGGTGTTTGTGGGAGAGGTGTTATTTGGTGAAAGTGAGAGTTCAAGTTCTTTCTGCCCCTGATTCTTCCCTGCCCCTGCCCTTTCCCCACCCCTGCCTCTCCACCTCCTGTCAGAAAGCGTCGCAACGAGAGGCGGGAGCGGGAGTACGCGCAGCAGAGGGAGGCTGCCACAAATGACGCTCTTACATTGCAAGGTGCTGGTGCTGCTGGCGCCTGGCCGGAGGAATTCCCTCCCCTCCTCCCTGCCGCTGCTCGCGACCCGTCAAGCAGGCGAAACCAGCAGTTAGAGGAGATTCTAGAGGCATTGGAGGAGATTAGAGAGGCTCAGAGAGAGGAGAGAGGGGTGGGAAGAGGGGAGGGGCAGGAGGAGGAAGAGGAGGAGGGGCTGGATTTAGATCCAGAGCATGAGTTGCCTGCAGAGCAGGTGTGTGTGGTATGTGCTGGGAGGGTGAGGAGGGCTGTGTTCATCCCGTGTGGGCACCGCGTGTGCTGCCTGCGGTGTGTCAGGGCCGTTAAAGAGAGCAGCTCGCTCTGCCCCATCTGCCGGCGGTTTGTGCGGCGAGTGTATCAGGTGTTTGACACGTGAAGGCAGAGGGTGAGAGGGCGGTTGCAGACAGAGTGTCAGTTGGTCGGACAGATGGTGAGAAGGGCGGTGTTCATCCCGTGTGGGCACCGCGTGTGCTGCCTGCGGTGTGCAAGGGCTGTGAAGGAGAGCAGCTCTCTCTGCCCCATCTGCCGCCGGTTGTTGCGACGAGTGTACCAGGTGTTTGACACGTGAGGGGGAGGAATGCAGATGAACTGGGCAGGTGGTTTTCATCCCGTGTGGGCACAGCGCTGTGGCCGCGCGGTCAAGCAGAGCACCGCTTGACCGATCGCGCCATTTGCAGGCAGCAGGGGATGGAACTGGCAACAGCCCTGCTGCCTGCAAATGGTTGTTGCCAGTCCCGCCTGCAGGTGGCGCGGTCGGTCACGCGGTGCTCTGCTTGACAGCCCCATGTGCAGGCGCTTAGTGTGGCAGCAAAACTTCTGGGGTGCCTGAAAAGAGTGTCTGTCTGGCGGTAAGGGTACCACGTGGTCGACTTGTGAGAGGGAATCATGAGAGGGAATCATGAGAGGGAATCATGAGAGGGAATCATGAGAGGGAATCATGAGAGGGAATCATGAGAGGGAATCACGAGAGGGAATCATGAGAGGGAATCATGAGAGGGAATCATGAGAGGGAATCATGAGAGGGAATCATGAGAGGGAATCATGAGAGGGAATCATGAGAGGGAATCATGAGAGGGAATCATGAGAGGGAATCATGAGAGGGAATCATGAGGCTTCATGCAACGTTGTTGCAATGTGTGGACAAGTACTACAGTTGCCCTGGACTCGGTACTGTACATTGCATGTATATAATGTGAATAATGTATTCACTCGTAGAGTGTGCATTAGTGTCTTTTACTGCTCCTTTCCAGAGTAAAACTCTAATTTATCTCGACACAGAGCACGAAGGTACTAGTACAAGTGAGCGGAAAACAGAACCGGACAGTGCAGCTGCACCATATGAAATCAGCAACAGCTACTCCAGGCACTACATAATATGGTGGCACATACTGTGTTACAATTCATATCGTCGTAGGTCTTACGGTATGGATGACTTTTGAGGCACCTCAGAAACAGCAACAGCTACTGCAATAGATAGTGTATTACGCATCAGAGGACTCATGGATGTGGGGTTTCACCATCTGTTTCACCATCCGGATCATCCGCTTGCTGCATGTCCCTTGCTTCCCTGGGCTGCAGTACAAGCTGCTTGAGCCGAGCAATTTCAGCTGCAGTGCAAAGAGGGGTAAGGGTGGGAGAAGGCAGGAAGACAGGCAGGAAAGCAGGCAGGAAAGCAGGCAGGAAGGCAGACAGTGGGAGATGATTGTAGGATCTAAAACAGAAATCAACTTCAACTGCAGCGCTAAGTGGGGTAAGTGTGGGAAAGCTAGAGGGGCAGGCAGGAAGGCAGGGTGATAGGGGTGGTGTGAAGCCAGGAGAGAGAGGGGATGCGCTTCCTGCCTGCCAGACTGGCTCCCTCTCCTCACCACCCCTCCTTCCCACTCACCGTCCCTCCCTCACACTCACCTTCCATCTCTCCGCACTGCTCTGCTGCTCTTCTCTCTCTCTCTCTCCTGACTCTATTTAAACATGCGCCGCAGCTCCATGTTATCTGCAAGCACCAGACACACCACCCCTATCACTTCCCCCCACTCACCACCCCTCCCTCCACTCACCACCCCTCCCTCCACTCACCTCCCCTCCCACTCACCTTCCATTTCCCTGCATCGCTTTGCTGCCCGCCTCTCTCTCTCCTGGCTCCTCCTCAGCATGCGCCGCAGCTCCCTGTTCTCAGCCAGTACCAGAGACACCACCCCTCACCATCCCTCCCTCCCACTCACCACACCTCCCTCACTCACCTTCCATTTCCCTGCATCTGTCTGCTGCTCTCCTCTCTCTCTCCTGACTCCTTCGCAGCATGCGCCGCAGCTCTCTGTTCTCTGCCAATACTAAAGACACCACCCCTATCACCTCCTCCTCCGCTGCCTCTTCTGCCTCCTCCCCTTCCTTTGGCAAACCCTCTTTCTCAGGTGTGCTGCTGCCCTCGCATTCCCCCGCCTCTCCTATTTTTCTTCTTCTCGACGCCTTCTCTTCCTCCTCTCCCCTTCTCTCACCCACACACGCACCCTCCTCCCCATCTCCCCACCCCACAACATTCTCACTTCTACCCCCTCCTCCTTCCCCCTCCTCCTGAGATTTCCCCCCCTCCTGAGCGTTCTCATCCATGCCACTCCCAATTCCACCCCTCTTTCCCTCCCCTAGTTTCACCAGTCTTCTCACTGCTCTCTCCACCGCCTCACCCCGTTTGCCCTCTCTATCCAATTCCCCACTCACACACAGTACATCACCCAGTCCCTTGTCTCCACTGCAGGTCTCACCCAATTGCATGTCCCCCCTGCTGGTCTCCCCAACACCACCATTACGTGCCTCTGATCTACCACTCCCAGCAGCACCTCTGGGCAGCAATTTTTGGACTCGTCTGGAGCTGGCCGGCCAGGGAGCAGACCTGCCCAGCCAGAGTCGTGTAATGTCTGCCAGCCTGTCAATTTTTTCCTCTAGTGCACGTAATCTATCCATACCGGACCAATCCACTGCTGCTCCACCATACCTTATTCCTCCCGAACCTCCTGTCATACCTTCCCTAAACCCATCTCCTGGCCCTTCCCCCTCTGTCTCTCCCTCCCTGCCAGCCTGTCTATCTTGTCCTCTCTACACATGCTGACAAGTTGGTATGCTTGGGCGGCATGAGAGGGGGTATGGAGGACGAGGTGGGAGGGGAGGGAAGGATGAAGGGGAGAGGGAGGAGGACGATGGGGGGTTGGGTAGAAGACGAGGTGCTGTTGTTTATATAAGAGTTGCTGGTATGTGGCAGGGTGGCGTTAGAGCTTTCAGTCGAAGCAAGAAGCGATGGGAGGGGGGGCGAGGAAGTGTCAAGATGCTCGTGTGAGTTGTTGGGCGTCGCTGCTGCAAAGCCTCCAGTTACAACGTCATGGTGAGCTTCTCCTTGCTGCCTTACTGCGGCTGCATTGGCGTCAGCTTGACCCGACGGCTCAGTGGATGATGTCGGCGTTTCTACTGCTGCTGGCAATGGGGTTGCTGCTGTTGTGGCTGCTGCTGCTGCTAGTGCTGCTGCTGATGGTGGCGTTACTACTGCTGCTGCTGTTGATGGTGTGGGTGCTGCCGCTGTGGTTGCCACCCTGTCACGCCCATCCATTGGTGCTCCCGAGACTTGCTGATGTGTCATCTCTCCATTCGGCACGGCAGAAAGAGATTCGGCCACAGCACGAACATCACACTTTGTGGCGCCACCGTCATTGCTATTCACAGCAGCAGCAGCAGCAGCAGCAGCACCACCACCACCATCAACAGAACCCTTCGCATCAGCACTATCCTTGCAAACACCTTGTTGTGTTGCTGAATTGACTGCTGCTCTTGCTTGTACTCCTTCTACCCCTACTGTCGCTGATCCTTCTGCCCCACTTACCCCATCTGCGCCCCTAACCCCTTCCACACCCCGTACCCCCTCCTCCCTTCTCTCACTCACTGCAAGCCCCATACTGGTAGGCCTAGGCGGAATTCCCGAGGCGGCCGCAGCACCAGCCGATGGGGGCGTGCCAGGTGGAGTCTTACCAGAGGCCGAGGCGAGAGAGGAAGCTGACCCGTTCAGGCCAGAAGCAGAAGAGAGGCCTCCCGGCCAGGCATTGCGGAGGAGCTTATAGGGGCTGACAGGAGCTGAGCGGGAGGAGAAGGAGGAAAGAGAGTCTGTGGCCGACACGACTGAAAGAGCATCGCTCATGTCACTGTCTAGGTCCGGGTCTAGGTTCGGGTTTGGGTTCGGGTCAAAGTCAGCCTCGCTGGGAGTTGAGGAGTGAGGGAGAGAGTGTGTGGATGATTTGCGGCGCCTGCTGGTAGCGGCTCCTCTTGATTGGCCCTGAGCCATGGCATCCCCTGGTGATGCCGCTGCTGATGCTGCTGATAATGTTGCTGATGATGATGATGCTGCTGGCTTTCGCATTCGATGAAGGGTGATGTCGAGGAATAGGAGGGTGTTTGGGGGCAGCTGCAAGAAGGGGGGCGATAGAGAGAGAGGGGGTTTGGGGGAGAAAACGGTGGGGGTGAGGGAGAGGGCATATGCGGGCAGACAAATTTAAATGCGTTTTTTTTTTTTTTTTTTTTTTTTTTCCGTTACCATTTTAGTAACCGTCGCGCATATTGTGATGTCTCAAAGGCTCAACTCAGCATGCGCGGATCCTATAATTCCCTTTAGTCAACGTACATTAGGAGGCAGGGAAGGGAAGTCCCCACGGCCGGCTGCTGAGGGTGAAACAGCAAGAAAGCGCCTTCCCTCCTTGCGCATGCCCACTATGCCTTGCTCTAGAGCTGGTGGGTGGGTGGATGGCCGGGTGGCAAACGGGGTAAGCAGATGATCAGCAGCAGCAGATGATTAGCAGAAGATGATTAGCAGCAGCAGATGATTAGCAGAAGATGATTAGCAGCAGCAGATGATTAGCAGAAGATGATTAGCAGCAGCAGATGATTAGCGCCCGGCATGCTGTGGGCAGGAGCTGTCAGACGCAGACAGGTGGGCTGCGGAGGTCTTACTTCCATCAACTCGTATGGTTATTAGAACGACGAGACAAACCCCATATGATGATTAGCAGCAGCAGATGATTAGCGCCCGGCATGCTGTGGGCAGCATCGTTCCAACGCAAAGCATCAAAGCAGACTATTCGCAAGAGAAATGAGTTGGCAACTTGGATTGGAGGGGGAGGGTGGGCAGGAAAACCGGCTGGAAGGTGTCGCAACATCTGCAGCCTTAGCCCAGAATCATGAAGAAGACAATACCTTTAGTCGGAAAAAAAACAAACTGTACATCAAAATCATTTAAAAGTACTGGTCAAGAGGAGAGAATAATAACAGGCATTATCAAAGCAGGAAATATCATACCTTCTAAGGCCTTGTGTGAGCCTAGTATCAGCTTCACTCCCTTGCCTGGGAAAGGTTGAATGTGTGTGCATGTGAAGCAGCAGGAATAAACAAAAAAAGAGAGAGTGGCAGGAAGGGGATAATTAGACGTAAGAAAAAAAGAAAAAGAAAAGAGTATTCGCAAGCATTGCATATTGAACGTTTCAAAGCAGCAGCGAGGCGATCCCAAACATTGCGAGCACTCAAAAGTTGTCTCCAGGTCTTGGGGTGCACAGTGCGGTGCAGCACTGTGTGAACGAACCTTGAGTGACGAGAAAAGGCATGAGGGGAGGCAGGTGTGGCGATGTGAAGGGGTCAGCCACCCATGCTGTCAGCGCCACTTGCACCTGTGATAAAGGCGAATGATCAAGAAGCAGCAGCAGTCACCAAAAAAAAAAAGAAAAAGTAACTGGACAGTGGACACAAGCTGAAAAGCAACCAGAAATAATTATGGAATTCATTGCGACATGATTTGATTTCGAGCATAGGGTGCACAATGAAACAGCACGACGGACATGGGGGAACATTCGACGGTGTCACATGCCATGCAACTGCATCTGCATCTGCATCTGCATCTGCATCTGCATCTGCAACTGCATCTGCATCTGCAACTGCAACTGCATCTGCATCTGCATCTGCATCTGCATCTGCATCTGCATCTGCATCTGCAACTGCAACTGCAACTGCATCTGCATCTGCATCTGCATCTGCATCTGCATCTGCATCTGCATCTGCATCTGCATCTGCATCTGCAACTGCATCTGCAACTGCATCTGCAACTGCATCTGCATCTGCATCTGCAACTGCATCTGCATCTGCATCTGCATCTGCATCTGCAACTGCATCTGCATCTGCATCTGCATCTGCATCTGCAACTGCATCTGCATCTGCATCTGCATCTGCAACTGCATCTGCATCTGCAACTGCATCTGCATCTGCATCTGCATCTGCATCTGCAACTGCATCTGCATCTGCATCTGCATCTGCATCTGCATCTGCATCTGCAACTGCATCTGCATCTGCATCTGCAACTGCATCTGCATCTGCATCTGCATCTGCATCTGCAACTGCATCTGCATCTGCATCTGCATCTGCATCTGCAACTGCATCTGCATCTGCATCTGCATCTGCAACTGCATCTGCATCTGCATCTGCATCTGCAACTGCATCTGCATCTGCATCTGCATCTGCATCTGCATCTGCATCTGCATCTGCATCTGCATCTGCATCTGCATCTGCATCTGCATCTGCATCTGCAACTGCATCTGCATCTGCATCTGCATCTGCATCTGCATCTGCATCTGCAACTGCATCTGCATCTGCATCTGCATCTGCATCTGCATCTGCAACTGCATCTGCATCTGCATCTGCATCTGCAACTGCATCTGCATCTGCATCTGCATCTGCAACTGCATCTGCATCTGCATCTGCATCTGCAACTGCATCTGCATCTGCATCTGCATCTGCATCTGCATCTGCATCTGCACCTGCACCTGCATCTGCATCTGCATCTGCAACTGCATCTGCAACTGCATCTGCATCTGCAACTGCATCTGCATCTGCATCTGCATCTGCATCTGCAACTGGAAATGCAACCGCAACCATGACGCTGCTGCAGCTGCAGCTGCAACTGCAACTCCATTCCTGCTTGGTTGCTCCAGTCTCTCCGTTTTCCATATACCTCAAAATCTGATTTGGGCTATCTGGGGCTCCATCTGAATTAGAGACACGTTCCATACATTCCATTCCGTCATGAGGCCTCACTCCCACTTCCAGTACTCCCCTCACTCGCTGCATCCTATATTTCATTCACCCCAATTCCTCCCACCCCTCCGCTCCCCTCCTCTCTGCTCCCAATGTACCCTCACAAACTTACTGCGTCTCCACCCTCCGCCCGTGACCTGTGTCCGCCTGTGCTCAGCAGAACATCCTGCACACATGCACACATGCACACATGCACACATGCACACGCCACACACGATCATGTCACTTGAGTTCAAGCCATTGAAAACTATTGCATGGAAGAAACATCATTGTGCGGGATGTAGTGTGGGCAATGAACACACATGAGAGCTGCCAGTTACAGTCTGCGCTGCGCAGCGCTACTGCAATAGCAGCAAGGTGCGCCGAAAGGGAGCTGGCATGGCGAGCACACGGGCGAAGCGAAAGTACTCTAAGAGTGAACCCCCTTTGAGCTTCACTTGTCCAAGCGGTGGCAGAAGGAAATTCTTTGCTTTTAATCCACGGATCTTGCTGCTTTGCGAGTGAGCCCTTTTGGCATTCTCCCAATCAGGCTTACTTGCAACGTGGGAGGGACGGGCACGTAGGCATGCGGAGGGTAGGTCTGTGCCGTGGCAGAAGCAAGGTGGGCTGAGAGGGAAGCGGCGAGAGCACGAGCAAAGCCGATGGCGAGAAGAAAGGCGGAGGAGTCTGCTGGGCTGAAGAGGGAGGCAGGGGCGAAATCAGGTGAGGCTTGAGGGCAGGACAAATAGGATGAGTGAGCGGTTAGGCGTGGTTGGAGACTCGAAAGAGGGCGAACATCAGATAAACTAACACCACACTGTCGACACACTGGTATCAGCACTGGTATAAGCACTGGTATAAGCACTGGTATAAGCACTGGGCTAAACAAACCTGCCCCTTCTCTTTCGGAACAACACCTTATTGCTGTTGTATCCTCTCCCAGCTAAAGTACCGTACCATGCTGCTAACATGCGGACTTTCGACACGTCTCAACGTACTCTCTCCACTGGCAGTACCGAGCAAACAGGAGGTTGGCCCTTGCAACCTGTTTGCCGAGACGATTTTTGAGGCGCCTCAAAAGAAGTTGGCCCTTGCAACCTGTTTGCCCGGTACTGATAGTGGGGAGAGTACTTTGAGACAGCAATCTCCCCACTACCAGTGCCATACGAACAGCACAGCAGTTTTCTAGTTGCAGCCCATACCTTGCAAACATGAGGATCCAGCGAGTGCCGTCTGGTGTGACCATGTGCACGCGCACGTCAGTCTGGGGCTGCGAGGCGGAGTGAGGAGAGGGGGGCGGGAAAGAGGGAGGGAGAGGGAGGGAGAACGGTATAGATGTCACGTCAAGCCAGGTAGAGGAGCCCATCTGTCTGGTGTCACCACGTGCACCTGCACACATCCGTCTGGGGCTGTGTACTTTCTTCTGAGTCGACTCAAAAATAGGCACATCCGTCTGGGGCTGTGTACTTTCTTCTGAGTCGACTCAAAAATAGGCACATCCGTCTGGGGCTGTGTACGATGGTGGGGGAGAGGAGGGAAGGTATGAACTTAGGAGCAAGTTCAAAAGCGAGTGCCCCTCGGATGAGCAGCGAGTGCCGTCTGGTGTGACATGTGCACCCGCACATCTGTCTGGTGTGACATGTGCACCTGCACATCTGTCAGGTGTGAGCTGCTAGGCGGAGTGGGAAGGGGTGGCGGGGTGATGGGGACAAGGGGCGAGAGAAGAATAAGCCATCTCTACGGCCCTTCTGACATCTTCCAGTGAGAGCAATGCTTAGGTTTAGGCTTAAGCAAGTAGGAAAAACAGTGTAAATCTTAACACTAGCTAATAGCCGAGAGTCTGTGAAATCGGAACTCTTCTCGTTAACAGAAACTAAAACAAGACAAACATGTTTCTGCCGGAGGGCATACCCTTCCAGGCCTTCATCAATGCCTACGAGGAAAGGGGTGGCGGGGTGATGGGGATAAGGGGCGAGAGAAGAATAAGCGATCTCTAAGACCCCTCGGCTGAACAACAAGTACTGTCTGGTGTGACCACGTGCACTCTCACAACTTTCTGGAGCTGTGAGGCGGAGTGGGGAGAGGGGGAGATGATGGGGATAAGAGAAGAGAAGAGTAGGTAAGGAATGAAGGAAGGGTGAGCTACTAGGTGGCTTTTGAGTCGACTTGGAAGCTGGGGACGTATAGGTAAGGTATGAAGGGGTTTCACTCACCTGGCACCGAACCGAAGGAGGTGGTGATGGCAGCATGGAGCAGCGATGGCAGCAAGGAGCAGCACCCGCCCGTCCGCCACTGCTCGCAGCTCCAGGCGCTGTAGCTGACCCGTGCCGTGTGCCCGCAAAAGCTAGGAGATAAGAAGGGTTTCTTTCACACACCTGGCACCAGAAGGACGTGGTGACAGCGGCGAGCAGCAGCGCGCGTCCATCCGCCACACAGCGCAGCTCCAGGCGCTGCAGCTGACCCGTGCAGGCCGTGTGCTAAAAGAGCAGCATGGGAATTGTTCGTTCGTTGTTGTACCCACCTGGCACCAGAAGGTGTTGGTGACAGCGGCGTGCAGCAACACTCGCGCATCAGCTATACAGCGCAGCTCCAACCGCTGCAGCTGACCAGGGCTGTGTGCTACTGCCAGTCGCGATGAGAAGGGCTCTTCCACTCACCTGGCACCAGAAGGAGGTGGTGACAGCAGCGTGCAGCAGCACCCGTCCATCCGCCACACAGCGCAGCTCCAGTCGCTGCAGCTGACCAGGGCCGTGTGCCACCAGAGCAGCGTGCACACCGTCAAACACCAGCTCCTCCTCCCTCGCTGCTCCATCCAGACCTGAAAGGGTGGGTTGGGAAGGATTATTCCGGGAAAGGGATAATGGAAGAAGCACCCTGAGGGAAGCAGCATGCACGCCGTCGAACACCAGCTTATGTTTTTTGAGAATTCTCAAAAAACACCAGCTCCTCCTCCCTCGCTGCTCCGTCCAGACCTGCAGGGGTTTGTTTGCGCAGGGTACAGCTTGAGTAGCTTAAATCCATGTGCTACCATTGCACTAGGGCCGTGTGCCGCCAGAGCAGCACACACGCCAACACCAGCTCCTCCCCCCTCGCTGCTTCACCCGGACCTGCATGTGGGGGTTAGCCGGTAGGGGAAAGGAAGGGGGTAAGGAGCATGTTGCGTCGCTGAGCGGTTCGTGCGCCAGCAGAGCAGCACACACGCCGCCAAACACCAGCTCCTCCTCCCTCGCCCCGCCATCCGGACCTGGGAGGGTTAGGAGGGGGACGGGAACTTCAGAGGAGCCTCACAGGCCGTCTGGACATGGGCGGGAGGAGGGGGGAGTGAGGGGGCGCGCATGGGAGGGGGGTGGCATATAGGAGTAGGGGATGGGGGTGCAGGTTGGGTGTGCGCAGGGGAGGGAGGGGATGCACGGGGCGGGAGGCGAAGGTAGTCTAGAGAGCGAGATGAGGCGGCTTCTGAGCCACCCTAGACGCCGCGAAGAGGAGAGGAGAAGGAGGGGAAAGGGGAGGGGAGCAGAAGGGGAAGAGGGGAGGGGACCGTAACGGAAGAGTGCAGGGAGGCTTTGAGGGCCAAGGGAGGGGAGAGGAGAGGCCGGCATGCAGGGGGATCGAATACTGTTGCGTGGGGACACGAGGAAGGGTGGAGGGAGAGCGTATTTGCTCGCTTGGAGCAAGTTGCTGAAAGAAGTTGTTGGAAATCTCAGAAATGCGATCAGAGCTAGGCGATCTCAGAAACCATGGGGAAACGGGAAATCTCAGAAATGCGATTCGGGACTTCGAGTGTGCGTTATAGAGAGTGTGCGGATTGTGGGAGGAAGACAGGATGAGAAACCATGTCTAGACGCCGTGTTAACTCTTTCGACGCTCGTTCCAGCCTCGCAGGCAGTCGCACCTGCGATCACTCGTCGCACGACGACTTGGGCGATCGCGACGGAGAAGGCGACGCTCGGCGAATATAGAGAGTCTTGGCCTTTTCGCCATGGATCTCCGCCACGTTCTGCCGTTTCCGCCATGGAGTTATCGTGCGGACTGAGGACATGAATCAATTGAGAGCGACAGCGTGGGCAGGGAAGAAATTCAGAGGATCACGGATCAATTGACTGATCTGGATGTATTGTAATTTGTCGGCTGTACGCTATATTGGCATTTCAGTATCATTCGGTCGTTTTACTTGCAGTTGGTTTCTGATTGTGTTTCACCTCACTGCGCGTTACATACGGTTTCAAGTGTAGGCTGTCCTATTGTTGCATGATAACAAAAATCATACCGAGTGAAGATTCTTGCACCTTATCCTCGCTATTATCTTGAAGGATTGCTCAAGTCCCGATACCATGAACCAAGCGCCAGCCGTCGTGCAGCTTTCTTCGCACGGGGAAAAGGCCAGGTCAGCGAAGGAAACGCCTCTCTTTGGTCCAATCTGCGATAATCTTGGGAGCGGGTGAGGCGAAAAGGTGGATCATGTGCCGTCAGAAGTATATTCGAGCAAACGCTCTTTTGTTCACGGTTTGGTGAGTTTCATTACGTTTTAAACTGGTTTTCTAATCATCCACAATGGTTTTGTAGGGTGGTTACGCAAACGAACTTCGGAACACAGCGCAGCGGAGCTGGTGCATTTTCCACTGCCCAAAATTGATCATTTCACTCACTTTGATGCTTGAAGTGGTTCGATGTTCTCCCTTCCAGCCATCCCCCGTGAAGCATTCATCCACGGGCACGCGAGTTCTTTTTACTGTAGCTGTTTTCATTCCCTCCCTGCCCGTTCGAGTGCTGTTCCTTAGACGATTGAATCGCAGCCGCCCATGGCCTGCCTGCTTTGCCTTCTCCTTCGGGAAAATATGCCACTCATAATCAACAAGGGTCTCAAAAACATTTTTGGTAAAAAATAACGGGTACGGTCACTGCAAAGGGTGTTTTCACGTGTTTGATAAAACGTTTCACGGAATCAGTCACAATCAACTGGAAAAAAATTACGCGAATGGTCACAGATGAGACTCCCGCCCAAAAAAGATTATACCCAAAACGAACCTGGATGCATTTTCGGATGAATCAGCCCTAAACACAACTCGCCAGGTGTTTAGGGTTGATCCGTTCCCAAACCGCATCCGATTCCGATCGGGTTTTAGTATTTTGAGAAATTAGCTGATTGGGTGGGCGCGAGCGGGAATTTTGTAGAGTTTCAAGAAATTTTGGCGGGAGTTACATGTGTGACCATTCGCGTGATTTTTCACCTGTTGTTAGTGACTGAATCCGTGACCCCACTTACCAAACCCGTCAGCAAACCCGATACAGTGACCGTACGCGTTTTTTTAACCATTCACGTTATCGAGTCCCATTTTGGTTACTTGTGACATATTTTCCCTTCTCCCTCCTCCTTCAACCCCCCCACTCCCTCCACTCCCCATGACGTCACCTTCCTTCTGCTGCATCGTCTTGATCGTCTTTATACGCTGAATTTAGGTTTTGTGGACACTGGTCCTCCTTATCTCAGCATCATCTGATCCGAGCCGAGACCGCTATTGCTGCTTCGCGGTTCGTGTCTGCATTGCTTTCCACCATTCACTTCGCCAGCTCGAGCTGGTTCCACAGGCCACTTGCCTTCCCCCAGCGTCACGTCTTCGTTCTCGCATGTACCCTACTCCTCCTAGACATGCTCAGCTTCCAGCGGTGCTTGTCGGAGATCCGGTGGTTTCAATTGTAGGGTAAAGCCTGACAACGCGACAGCTTCCGTTTCACAAGCTGCCGAACTGTGCAACCGCCCTCGTACTCTATCGCGTGGCGGGCACGAATGCCAGATATAGCTCTAATTGTCGGAACCTAGACCAGCCAGGAGTATAATCATCGAACGTAGAACATCTTACATCGGCGTTGTTTGTCATTATATAGCTGCTCATCGACCTGCCATTCCATCATCCCCACTTCGCACTCATACCCAGCAATTACTACTCCTTCACAGACCCCTTATCTCGCTTCCTTAGGGTTGCCTTCATTCTGCCGTTTTTGTTTCTCACGCAATTATTTCCGCGGCCATGGCGCACGCGTTTAGTACGAACCACACCGCGCTCACGTCGGAAGCCGTCGCTAAAATTGCGCACCGCCGAACATCGTCGATCACTACCCCCCCTCTCTCCTCCTCCTCCCTTCCCCCGTTCAGCTCCAAATCCTTAGCTCCTGCCACCTTGCGACGGTCACAACAACACCCCTCTCCAGCCATCCGCTCGTCTCTCACCAATGGCGCCGCCCGCCGCGCGGGGTCGATGGACGAGTCCAGCCCGTTCGCGCCCTTCTTCCAGCACGTTTTCCAATCGGACGTCTCCACCCGTCCGATGATGGTCCCGGATTCGTTCGAGACCGTTCCGAACGTCCAGGACGAGCTTTGGTATACCATCCGGGAAGAGGCTCGGCAGGATTCCGAGGCTGAGCCTGCGTTGGCCTCGTACCTCTACTCCACGGTGCTAGCGCACCGTTCCCTGGAGCGATCCATGGCGTTTCACCTGGCGAATAAGCTCCAATCGCCGACTCTGTTAAGCACGCAGCTCTGCTCGCTCTTCACCGACGTGATGCTTCGATCGCCTGAAGTTCAGGAGGCGCTGCGCGCCGATCTGCGTGCCATCTACACCCGTGACCCCGCGTGCCGGAGTTACTCTCACGCGATGCTGAATTTCAAGGGTTATCAGGCGCTGCAGGCGCATCGGATCGCGCATCGGCTGTGGCTGGAGGACCGTCAGGGATTGGCCATGGCGCTTCAAAGTCGCGTGTCGGAGGTGTTCCACGTGGATATTCATCCGGCTGCGAGAATCGGGAATGGAGTGCTATTTGATCACGCGACGGGGCTGGTGGTTGGCGAAACGGCGACGATTGGTAACAATGTTTCCATTCTGCATCATGTGACGCTGGGAGGGACGGGGAAGAGCACGGGCGACAGGCATCCCAAGGTCGGCGACGGCGTTCTGATTGGCGCTGGCGCGACGCTGCTTGGACCAATCAGGATTGGGGAGGGAGCGAAAGTAGGAGCAGGGTCAGTGGTGCTGCTGGATGTGCCGCCGCGTGCGACGGTTGTGGGGATTCCAGGGAGGCTGGTTGGCGGGAAAGAGAAACCTGCCATGTCTACAGTGAACCCTAGTGAGACTATGGACCACACCTCGTTCATTCTGGATTATACCATCTGAGATCTGGAGAGTCCCTGGCTTGGGACTTGATATGTTACTCTCCTTGGAGCTTGCTGCTGCTGGCTGTGAGGTATAGGGTGGAATTGGACATACGGTATGTGAAATAGGGTTTGGGGTGGCACCGTGGCAGGGAAAGGCTGGCAGGCTGGCAGCCTACAATGGCAATATGTCATGCGACCATGGTGGTCGGTTGTATTAAATTTCGTTTGTGCTCATGCTGCTGGGCGCCCCTGTGCTTTTGTATTTTCAGTTATTTCAAAATTAAAATTGAACACTATTATATCGTTGCATTGAAACTCCAAGCGAGGATGTGGTGGTCGATTGGCTTTGCTGATGGCTGGTTATTGAGAAGGTGGCTCCTAAAACTTGCTACTGTACAGGATATTGTTCAAGAGTTGTAGCCACGTGCAAATCCTGTTTCAACAAGGCTAGGAAGCATCTCGAGTTTCGGGATATCGCAGAAATCGCCGTTGATGCTCGTCTTCATGGCTCATACGAATTCCGCAGAACTACTCGCAGCCGCATTCTCAGTTCAGCGGCTATTCGCTGCCAATATTATGAGCCGAGCACTACCAGATTAGTATTTGTCAGTTCGCTCGCATTTATGGTTGCCAGTTTATCTACGCAGCGTTCCAAATTTCGCTCCGAAGATTAGGTCCGAGCTCACGAGTACCCAATCCTTAGCCCTGATGCTTTAGCCGCCTGATTCAGAACGCAAGATACCGAATTGAATCTGTAAGTCTGGCCTTCACCTTTCGAGAATGCTTCAACACGCAGTTGCGCATCTCTTCTTCTTGAGAAGACCATATGCCTCGCTGAATCTGACGACGAGTAGACCGGGAAACGGAGGAAAACCGTGTTGTTTCACTCACGGCGCTCTTTATTGGGATCGCACTTTTTGTTCCCTCAATTTTCAGCGTCAGAAACGCGAGGCGACATGATCAAGGCCGTGCTGATCATCAACAATCAAGGGAAGGCTCGTTTCGCACGCTTCTACGCGAACATCGTAAGCCCGTCGTGAATGTCGTAGGCCTGTCGCAAACGCCGTCATCAGCGTCTTGCCATACTGTTTTTATGAGCCACAAACCTAGAGTTGCTTTCTCCACAGTTTAATCTCAATCCAGCGTGTGACTGGATTCGTGCTTTACCCTGCAGAGCGGGGAGAGGCAGCAACATATAATCCGGCACTCGTTTGAAGGTCAGTTGCGACTTCTTTCTAGTGACAGAAACCATAATTGGGCCCACAAGAGCACCAGGCCCAGTCCTTCTTTCCCTGTGTGACTGATTCAGCGATCCCTTACGTTCTGTAGTGAGTCTCGAGCTCTGCAGTTCTGCTGCTTTCCATACAAAGCGGTCTTAATTTCTCTCTTACTCCGTTTTCTTTCGTGCTCACTCGTTTTTTTTCGTTTCTTACTCCTGTTTTTGTTCTCGGTCGTCTAATCCCCCTCCTGATATTTGTACCCCAGCTGTGGCCTCTCGCCCACCCACTTGGTCTAATATCATTGAGGACTCCAGCAGGTTCGGCAAGGTGAGAGCGGCTCAAGCAGGTTATGTAAGGTGAGAGCAGCTGGAAGCAGGTTCGGCAAGGTGAGAATGGCTCAAGCAGGTTCGGCAAGGTGAGAGTGGCCGAAGCAGGTTAGGCAAAGTGAGAGTAGCTGAATAGGGTTCAGCAAAGTGAGAAAGAGTGGCAAAGCAGGTTCGACAAGGAGAGAACCGCCGAAGCCAGTTCAGCACAGCACAGTGAGAATGAGCAGATGAAGTTATGATACCGTTATTTTGCTGCACAGATTCGGCAACATGAGCCGCTTTTGCAATGAACGTGTGTGTGCATGGCTGCTGCGTGGAATAGTTGGCATGGGGTTGTAGGTTTGCAGGACCAGGGGTTAGTTTGGCAATTGGTCCTGAAGTGCTAGATGGGATGGGATGAGCTGAGAATGAGCTGGCTGCTGAGAGTGCTAGTGCCACTGCTCTCTCAGTCGTGCTAGACGCCCCCCCACCCATCTGTATCGCAGAACATCAAGCTGGTGTACCGCACGTTCGCTACGCTCTACTTCATCTTCCTCATTGACAGAGCCGAGAACGAGCTGGCTGTGCTGGACCTTATCCATGGTGAGTAAGGCTCTTCACCCCCCAGGCTCCTCTTGGCCGCCCAGGCTCCTCTTGGCCGCCCAGGCTCCTCTTGGCCGCCCAGGCTCCTCTTGGCCGCCCAGGCTCCTCTTATGAGGCGCCTCTCAATCAGACAGAGCAGAGAACGAGCTGGCTGTGCTGGACTGGACCTCATTCATGGTAAGGCCCTTTCTTTCTTCATCCCCCGGGCTCCTCGTTGGGGCGCTTTAGAAGCGACTTTCACTCTCTACTTCATCTTCCTCATTGTCAGGGCTGCGAACGAGCTGGCTGTGCTGGACCTCATTCACGGTGAGTGAGGCTCTTTCTATAAGGCCCTTCACCACCCAGGCCCCTCTCTTGAGCTGACTCACAAACAGAGCTGAGAACGAGCATGTTGTGTTAGCCCTCACTCATGGTAGGGTTCTGGGTCTACAGTCATGCCCCCTCACTCCCTCTCTCATCCCCCTGTGTCTTCCCTGCCGATTTTTCCCATCCTCCACTTATGTATATGCAGTGTTTGTGGAGTCGTCTCGTTGGATCGCTTCTACAATAACGCGTGTCGAGTGTGCACCCAGCTTTCCTGACCTCCCTGAACCTCTTAACTCCTCTTGTGCTATTGTGTGCATGCAGTGTTTGTGGAGTCGTTGGATCGCTGCTACAAGAACGTGTGTGAGCTGGACATAGTCTTCAACTTCACCAAGGTAGGTACCACCCGAGCATGATGCCACTACCTTTTGTTTTGTTCTGTTTTTTCTCCTCTTCTTCTTCTTTCCTTTTTCTCGCAATCACAGCCTTGCAAGTTGCTGCCAAGCGTAACGGCATATAAATCATGGCGACTGTGTAGTATACTGTACGATCAGTCTGTGTGGGATGTCATTCGAATAAGCCTGATCCCGTTTTTGCTCCCTGCCGACATGGTTGTGCGTGCAGGTGCATCAGATTCTGAACGAGATTGTGATTGGAGGGCAGGTGCTAGAGGTGACAGTGGATGAGGTGCATCGAGCCGTGCAGGAGATAGAGAGGTGAGTATAACGGTTGGGTATAGGGTGTGTAGTTAGGGAAAACGGGGAGTGCCAGGCGTCACATAAATGCTGGAGGTGACAGTGGACGAAGTGCAGGAGATAGAGAGGTGAGAGAGAGATGGGGAGAGCATTGAGTGAGCGACTGGTTCTCAACACTCACAAGAGAAAGTGCAAGAGGAACACGGGCTGGTTGGCATTGGAGAAGGATTGAAAGGATGCTCGGTACACATTGAAGGGATGCTATTGAAAGGATGCTCGGTACACATTGAAGGGATGCTATTGAAGGGATGCTCGGTACACATTGAAGGGATGCTCGGTACACATTGAAGGGATGCTCGGTACACATTGAAGGGATGCTCGGTACACCGTACATGTGTGCTGGTGGTTTGTTTTGTTACTTTCCGAGTGATCCAAAAGTCACGAGGGCTTGAACAGGTGTTCAGTGCTTGTGCGTGTATGTTTTTGTTTTACACATCACCAACGCAGCTGTACCTGTATGTGACTGCACACCCCGCTGAGTTCATTATCCTCCTCTTGCCTTTCATTCACCCGCTCCCTCCCTCCCTGGAGCACAAGCCAGACACACCAGCAACGCAGCTGCACCTAAAGGTCGCCCCAGCCATGTGTGCACACTCCTCCAAGTTGATCCATTATTTTTTTAGACGTCTCAAAAGAGTTTTGGGACGTGCTTTGAGACGTCTCAAAACGCAGCTGCACCTAAGGGGCGCCCCAGCCATGTGTGCACAGCACACTCCTCCGAGCTGATTTCTTCTCATTCTGCCTTGCGTTCACCTCCTCCCTCCCTGCCTCACAGGCTTGAGCGGAAGCCAGACACGCCAGCAACACAGCTGCGGCCCAGGGGCGCTCCTCTGCTCTCCTGATTCATTGCTGAAGGGGCATATCTTGTTGACCCCTCTGCCCCGGCTCTCACAAGAATTATGACTTGCCTATTCAAGACAGCAGTGCCTGGATTCTGGTAGACAATCTGGTGATTTGTGTGAAGGCAAAATCTGAGCCTCACGGTAATTAGAATGGCTCAAACACTCATATGTTCGAACATTGATTCTGTTTGATCAGCAGGCGTTGGGCACAGCGAATTAGTAATAACGGTAGGCAGAGCGGATGATAAATTTAGATCGCTCTGTGATATTTACACATCAGCCTTAAAACCCGCGTCTCATATTTCCTCTTTCCAACCAAGAGTAATACGCTCGAAACCGGGTAACCTCACAAGTCAGTCGGAACTTTGTTGGGTTTGGTTAGGAGCACCTGTGATTGGTTGCAACCCCATCAGGTTGGCGAAGGGTGACGCACGACTACCCAACCATATTTGCGAGGAACACACCACCTTGTGCGACGACGGTAGGGAACACAAAGAAGCAAGCGTATTACCACAGCAGAAAAATATGACTGCAAACCCAGACAGGTTGTAGGTGGCGGAGGACCGATTTCTCAAGCGACTAAGTCTTATTTCAGCATCTTCTTTCCCCTGGTTTTTTTCGAGCGTCAAACGTGACAATACGCAATACTTCTCGTTGGTCACTCCGCGCCTGCTTTTACTTTTACGCACGTACAGTCCGTCCATCGCCAGAGCTGGTCCTCATTATTGCAGTAAGATGCAACACTCTATTTGGACCAAGGTGTACTGCAGTAACGCTCCCCCCTGTCGAATTTGGACGGAAGGGACACGACGGAAAGGCAGCAGTTAGGACGAGGTAGGAAGCGACGCGACGGAAAGGCAGCAGTTAGGACGAGGTAGTAAGCGACGCGACGGAAAGGCGAGGGTTAGGACGAGATAGGAAGCGACGCGACGGAAAGGCGAGGGTCAGGACTAGATAAACAGCGACGCGACATTACAGGAAGCGACGCGACATGGCTGGAAGCGAAGAGATACTGTAATATTATAGTTATTTTACCTCATATTAGTATTCACTAATGTAGGCTTGACTCTAGCGAATACGTAGCGGAGGTTCTCGCGTCAGTGGGTTCGGCGTACATTTTCGTTCCGAACCACTTCCGAGTCGCCACCGCACATTCCGCCACCTTTCCGAGCCTCGTTTACCCCGAGGTTCTCGCCTCGAATCTGCCTATTTTTAACCTCGTTATTCTTCCATTCAGTACTATCTCATTCTTTCTGCCCACGCCTTAGTGATGTACTTATCATAAAATGGCACATCAACTTTCCAACAAGTACCTCTTTATGCGTTAGTAAGCACCTCGCTGACACTGCGAGGGTTGGCTGTGGTCATTCTGTTGCTTAGTGCGACATTAGCGGGGAAACTTAAATGGATGATGCTGGAATGAACGGTAACGGGGGAGTTGAGATGAACGGTCAGGATGAACGTATGGCTGACGTCAACGGCTTAGATGCAGCTGAAACAAGGAAAGCGGTGATAGAACCTGCTCGTAGAGGCGCTGGCGAAATTGACCCAGGTAACACTGGCGAAACGGGTCCTATTAACGCTGGCGAAATGGACCCTAGTAACACCGGCGAACCTGACCCGGGTAGCATTGCAGTGCTGAAAACAGTTGACGAAAGCGTCAGGACGGCGCGCGAGGCTGAAACGAAGGGGGGTGACGAAACTAGGGACGACGGGAGGATCGAGGCAGGAGCGGAAGCAGAACGAGGTGAGAGGAAATCAGCGGGAAGAAGGGGAGAAGAGAGGGAAGCTGGGGAAGAGGAGGGGAGTGAGGAGAGGCAGGGCGAAGGCACTCCTAGGAGAGACGCTGGGGTTGAAGGACAAGAGGAAGGGACGCAGCAGCAGGAAGGAGAGCAGCAGGTGGAAGGAGAGCAGCAGGAGAAAGACAAAAAGCAGGTCCAAGAGGAGGAGGAGAAGGAGGAGCAGGAGGAGCAGGAGGAGCAGGAGGGGCAGGAGCAGGAGGATGATGAGGATGAGGAGGAAGAGAAAGAAAAGCAGCAGCTAGTGGGCGCTAGGGAGAGCAGTAGGAAGGGCGACAGGGACGGCGGCGGTGGCAGCGGAGTGAAGCGGGGGCTGCGGTCAGTGATGGCAGGGCGTTTCCAACATTACTCGGCACTCAAGAGCAAGCGCCGGCGACGACTGGAACAGAGGAGCTTCCAGGAGTTCTTCCTCGCGGGGGGGGAGGGGGAGGAGGCGGGGGAGGGGAAAGAAGAGAGGGAGAGGGGGGATGCGGAGGGGTTGGGTGGGGGAGAGGGGGATGGGGAGTTAATGGGAGATGGGGAGGGGGATGGAGAGAAGGAAGCGGAAGGGGAGGAGGATGAGGTTGGTGTTGCTGTGGGGGAGGATGAAGGGGATGGGGACGGGGGGAGTGAGAGTGATGGGGTGGAGGAGGTAGAGCAGGAGGAGGAGGGAGAGGAGGGCGAGGGGGAGGAGGAGGAGAAGGAGGAGGAGATGAAAGAAAGCGGAGCTCTAGAGGGGGAGAGGAAAGAGGAAGGGGATGAGGAAGGGGATGAGGAAGGCCGGGTGGAGGAAGAGAGGGACGGGATGGTTGAGGTAGCTGATACGGGTTTGGGAACAGCAGGGAGTGGAGCGGATAAGCTAAGAGGCTCTCGGAAAGCTGTGGTGGGGAAGAGGGAGGAGAAAAGGCGAGAGAGGGAAGTGAGGTCGCAGCCGGTGGTGGAGGAGAAAGGCGAGGGGCAGAGGACACTGAGAAGGAGAGAGCAACCGAAACGAACCCAGCAGAGCAAGCAACAGCAGAAGCAGCAGCAGCAGCAGCAGCAGCCACAGAAGCAGCAGAGGCGGCAGGGGAAGAAGCAGACGGGTAAAGCGAAACAGGCAGCAGCGGCGAAAGCAAAGGCAGGGCGAGCAGCAGCAGCGAAGGGAAAGCGGGAGGCGGAGAGGCAGGAGGAGCACGATGCAGAGGTGGCACGGGCGGTAGGGTTCCCTCCGGATGGGCTGAGGGAGGACGAGGAGGAGGCGGGTGTGTTTCGCAGTGGTACAAGTGGGGAGGAGGGCGTGTATGTGCGCATGCGGAATCGGATTTTGGCGCTTTGGAGGCGGAATGTGAATGGGTGGATACACGATGACAAGGTGGGTTGGGTGAGGGGGACGCAGTAGGGATTGGGAAGAGGGAGTGGGGAAGAGAGTGTGTGTATGTATGTATGTATGTGCGAGTGAACGGTGCGGAGGGGTTTCCCCTGGATGGGTTGAGGGAGGATGAGGAGGAGGCTGATGTGGTGCGCAGTGGCACGGGGGGCAGTGGGGAGGAGGGTGTGTATGTGCGCATGCGCAACCGTATACTTGCGCTGTGGAGGCGGAATGTGAACGGGTGGATACATGAAGACAAGGTAGGGAGAGAAAGGAAGAGATAGCGAGAGAGAGCTGGCAGTTGGGTGGGGAGCGTGTATGTGCGCATGAGAAACCGGATTTTGGCGCTTTGGAGGCGGAATGTGAATGGGTGGATACACTCGAGTGACTTTTGAGAATTCTCAAAAGATTCACGAGGACAAGGTGGGTGGGAGGAGAAGAGAATGGTGCGGTGTGGGTGGGAGGAGAAAGAGAATGGTGCGGTGTGGGTGGGAGGAGGATAGGTGCGAATGAGAAACTGTTTATTGGCGCTCAGGAGGCGGATTTACCAGAACAAGGTAAGTGGAGTGAGGGATGGGGATGGGGGAGAGGCGAGGAACATTTATATGTGTGCGTGAGGGAGTATGCGTATGTGTGCATGCCTCTCCATCCCCCAAACCTCCTCACCCGCTCTCTCCCCCCAAATTCCAATGTCTTCAGCTACTAAGCAGCACACCAGCAGCCGAGCGGGAAGCAACAAGAGCAGCCTTCACCTTTCTTCATCTGCGTGGTTTCATCAACTGGGGCCTCTTTCTCTCCCTCGCTCCCTCCTTCCCCCTTTTCCTCCCTGTGCAGCTACTAAGCAGCACACCAGCAGCCGAGCGGGAAGCAACAAGAGCAGCCTTCACCTTTCTCCATCTGCGTGGTTTCATCAACTGGGGCCTGTCGCGTACCGCCACATCCGCCATCCCTCGCCGCCCCTCCCTGCCCCACGTCATCGTCCTCGGTGCTGGCCTCGCAGGCCTTGCTGCAGCGCGCCAGTTGATGGTTCTCGGGCATCGGTGAGTGCTGTGGTTGAGTGGGTATTTCGAGCCGCCCCTCCCTGCCCCACGTCATCGTGCTCGGCGCTGGCCTTGCAGGCCTTGCAGCAGCGCGCCAACTACTAGCCCTGGGCCACCGGCGAGTGCTGTGGCCGGCTGAGTGCGGTTTTGAGGCCAGCTATGTTGATGTAACATCAAAAGTATGTTGAGAATTTTCAAAAGTAACATCAACATAATCGGTAAGTGCTGCTTTTTGAGAATTCTCAAAAGTAACAACAACATAACCGGTGAGTGCTGCGGCCGGCTGAGTACGAATTTGAGGCGCTTAAACTAACAATAATTCGGGCCTCTCTCGCACGGTCGTCAGCCACTGCGGCCATTCCTCGGCCACTGTAAAAGCTCGCAACCGGCACTCTTATCTTGGATGCTCTCTTTCTCCCCTGCCTTCTTGCCCTGTCTACTGCCTGATCTGTTCCCATAAAAGTGACAGTGATAGAGGCGCACAAGAAACCAATCCTCATGTCTAACATTTCTGTCTCTCTTATTGTCTTCCTCTGATCTATTCCCATCAGGGTGACAGTGATAGAGGCTCGCAACCGCCCCGGAGGGCGAATGCACTCCAAGCTGCTCTCCTCGCCTCCAGGCCCCAACCAGGTGGGTCAACATGTGGTGACATAGTGGTGACATAGTGGTGACATTCGATTTCTGAGGTACCTTGGAACATTCCAAGCTGCTCTCCTCTCCTCCAGGCCCCAACCAGGTGGGGCAGTAGGTGGTGCAGATGGCATGCGGTGCAGGTGACATGTGTGGGATGCGGGCGTAAAGTGGGTGGGTGGCAAGCAGGTGGACCACGGAACTGTGTTTTTTCGATTGGAGTGAGCGCGGAGACATGGTACCTTTGCACCACACTCATTATCCCCACCCCATCCTCTTCTTCGCGCTTTCCCCTCTCCCAGGTAGCAGTGGCAGCGGAACTGGGTGGTTCAATTCGATCGTCACCGGCATCCTCAGCAACCCTTTGAGCGTCCTAGCTCGTCAACTCCCCATCCCTCTGCACCGCTTTCATTAACCTCCCAACCCTGCTCTCCCATTTTCACCATGTCTCTCCTCTTCCCTCTCCCTGCTCTCCCCCCAGGTAGCAGTGGCAGCAGAGCTGAGCGGATCGATCGTCACAGGCATCCTCGGCAACCCTCTGGGAGTCTTGGCCTGCCAGCTCGCAAACCCTCTGCACTACATTCACTACCCCCCAACCTCCCTGCCTTTCCCAACACCCTGTTCCCCCTACGCCCTTCCCTTCCCCTCCCAAGTGGCAGTGGCAGCAGAGCTAGGCGGTTCTATCGTAACAGGCATTCTCAGCAACCCTCTGGGCGTCCTAGCTCGCCAGCTCGCCATCCCTCTGCACCGCTTTGCATCCATTGCGCCTGCTCTCTATCCCCCCCTGTGCCTCCCACCAGGTGGCAGTGGCAGCGGAGCTAGGCGGGTCGATCGTCACAGGCATTCTCGGCAACCCTCTGGGAGTCTTGGCCCGCCAGCTCGCCATCCCTCTGCACCGCATTCGCGACGCCTGCCCGCTCTACCGCCCGGACGGGCTGCCCGTGGACGAAAAAGCTGACCGGGTGGCAGAGGCAAGATTCAACGTGATGCTGGACTTAGCTTCAGAGAGGAGAGCGGAGATGGAGGGGGTAGCAGATCAGATCTCCCTTGGGAATACCATGGAGTTTGTTCGGCAGCAAGCGGTGCAGGCTGTATCTGAGGAAGGTGGAGCAGCCTCGGGAGCAGCAACAGCAGCAGCAGCCGCAGCAACAGCAGCAGCAGAAGCAGCAGCAGCAGTAGCAGCAGGACCACCAGCAGCAGCACAACCAGCCAGAGTCCAAGAAACAGAAGAGGAACAACAGCTAGTGCAGTGGCACTATGCGAACCTCGAGTTTGCCAACGCAGCCCGTGTAGCGGACCTGTCTCTGGCCTTCTGGGACCAGGACGACCCCCACGAGCTGCTGGGGCACCACTGCTTCGTGGCGGGCGGCAACGGGCAGCTTGTGGATGCCCTGGCGGACGGGCTGCCCGTGGTGTATAACTGTGCGGTGGAGAGGGTTGAGTATGGGATAGGGAGGAGTCGAGAAGGGGACGAGCCGGTTTCAGCAGAGGCAGGAGGGGGAGGAGCAGGAGGTGGAGCAGGAAGAGGAGGAGGCGGGGGAGAGGGGGGAAAGGAAGAGGAAGTGGGAGGGGAGGGGAGAGCGGCGGCGGGGGGAGTGAGGGTGGTGTGTCGGGACACGAGGAGTGGGGAGGAGGTGGAGTATGAGGGGGACCATGTGCTCTGCACGCTGCCGCTGGGAGTGCTGCAGAGGGGGTCCGTGTCCTTCCACCCGCCGCTGCCTCTCAGGAAGACACGTGCCATCCATAGGCTGGGCTTCGGGCTCTTGAATAAGGTTAGGTTCCTGTGAGTGTGGTGTGGTGTGGTGTGGTGTGGTGTGGTGTGGTGTGGTGTGGTGTGTGGTGTGGTGTGGGGTGTGGTGTGGTGTGGTGTGGGGTGTGGTGTGGTGTGGTGTGGGGTGTGGTGTGGTGTAGGGTGGGGTGGTGTGGTGTGGTGTGGTGTGGTGTGGAGTGGGGTGGGGTGGTGTGTGTGGTGTGGTGTGGTGTGGTGCGGTGTGGAGTGGGGTGGGTTGGTGTGTGTGGTGTGGTGTGGTGTGGCGTGGTGTGATGTTGTGTGGTTGCATGGTGTCAGGCTTGGTGGATGTCGCCACACCGCACTTCTCATCACAATTCGCCTCAGAGCTCTTGGAGGGCTATATCCGTGTGACTTTTGAGAATTCTCAAAAGAGAACCTCCATGCCTTTCCACCCGCCCCTGCCTAACAGGAATAACTTCTTCTTTCTAGTACCCTCCTTGTGCCTGCACACTCTCACCCGCATCCCTCCCCTTTCTTTCTCTTTCCCTTGCTCTTCCCCTATGTTTTCTGGGACACCACCATCGACACCTTTGGTTGCCTCAACTCTTCAGCTCATGACACCTTTGGTTACCCTCTCCACATCCCTCTTCTCTCCCGTCTCCTCTTTCCTCCCCATGCAGGTAGCAATGCTCTTCCCGTATGTCTTTTGGGACACCACCATCGACACCTTTGGTCGCCTCACATCGCACCCCTCGCAGCGGGGCGAGTTCTTCCTCTTCTACTCCTACGCTGCTGTCTCGGGCGGAGCGCTGCTCATGGCTCTGGTCGCGGGGGAGGCTGCAGAGAAGTTTGAAGGAGAGAAGTCGGATGCGCTCATGTGGCGGGTGCTGACAGTGCTCAAGAGTGAGTGGGCCCTGCTCCTCAAATACCATTTGGGGTTCCTTGCAAGTGGGACTCCTTTTCCATGGAGTTGAGCTGAGTAGCTTTAGGCGAGTCCTTTGTTTTCTACTCCTACGCTGCTGTCTCGGGCGGCGCGCTGCTCATGGCGCTCGTTGCGGGGGAGGCGGCTGAGAAGTTTGAGGGGGAGAAGTCGGATGCTCTCATGTGGCGGGTGCTGACGGTGCTCAAGAGTGAGTGCATCGCCTAGTGCCCCTCCCTCATTTCTCTTGCGCCACCTGGGTTTGAGAGTTGAAGCAAGTGCGTCGAAGGGGAGAAGTCAGATGCGCTCATGTGGCGCGTTCTGACTGTGCTCAAGAGTGAGTGGGCCCTGTTCCTCATGTACCTTTTGAGGTTCCGTTCTCATGGGGCTCTTTTCCCGTGGAGTTGCACTGAGTGAGTGGGCCATGGCGATTCGTGCTTGAAGAGCTCCTTGTGTTCCTTCTAGGGTGCTACAGAGTGAGTGAACTCATGAGCGTGGCAACCAGTACGCTCGTCATTCAACTCGGTCTTCCATCCCCTCCCCTCTCCCATTTGGCCCCTTACTTCTCCCCCCCTCCCCTCTCAGAAATCCACGAGCCCAAGGGCATAGCCGTGCCGCACCCGTTACAGCTGTCTGTGCACTCTCCCCCCCCCCTCCCTCCCCTCCCTTCTCCCCCTCTCCTCTCCCCCTCTCCTCTCCCCCTCTCCTCTCCCCCTCTCCTCTCCTCCTCTCAGAAATCCACGAGCCCAAGGGCATAGCCGTGCCGCACCCCATGCAGTGCGTGTGCACGCGGTGACGCAGCGACCCATACGCACTTCTCACCCCACTCTCCCCCCACCTCCCTCCCCTCCCTCCCCCCCTCACCTCTCCCCCTCTCAGAAATCCACGAGCCCAAGGCATAGCCGTGCCACATCCTCTAAAGTGTGTGTGCACGCGGTGGTGCAGCGACCCGTACGCTCTTCAACCAAGCCTCTCTTTATTTAACCCCTCCTCAACTTGCACCCCCGCCCTCCCCACCCATCCCTCCTACAGAAATCCACGAGCCCAAGGGCATAGCTGTACCACACCCTCTGCAGTGTGTGTGCACGTGGTGGCGCAGCGACCCATACACTCTTCTCACAACCCCCTTCCTCCCTCTCACGCCCCTCCTACAGAAATCCACGAGCCCAAGGGCATAGCTGTACCACACCCTCTGCAGTGTGTGTGCACGCGCTGGCGCAGCGACCCATACACTCTTCTCACAACCCCCTTCCTCCCTCTCACGCCCCTCCTACAGAAATCCACGAGCCCAAGGGCATAGCTGTACCACACCCTCTGCAGTGTGTGTGCACGCGCTGGCGCAGCGACCCATACACTCTTCTCACAACCCCCTTCCTCCCTCTCACGCCCCTCCTACAGAAATCCACGAGCCCAAGGGCATAGCTGTACCACACCCTCTGCAGTGTGTGTGCACGTGGTGGCGCAGCGACCCATACACTCTTCTCACAACCCCCTTCCTCCCTCTCACGCCCCTCCTACAGAAATCCACGAGCCCAAGGGCATAGCTGTACCACACCCTCTGCAGTGTGTGTGCACGCGCTGGCGCAGCGACCCATACACTCTTCTCACAACCCCCTTCCTCCCTCTCACGCCCCTCCAACAGAAATCCACGAGCCCAAGGGCATAGCTGTACCACACCCTCTGCAGTGTGTGTGCACGCGGTGGCGCAGCGACCCATACACTCTTCTCACAACCCCCTTCCTCCCTCTCACGCCCCTCCTACAGAAATCCACGAGCCCAAGGGCATAGCTGTACCACACCCTCTGCAGTGTGTGTGCACGTGGTGGCGCAGCGACCCATACACTCTTCTCACAACCCCCTTCCTCCCTCTCACGCCCCTCCTACAGAAATCCACGAGCCCAAGGGCATAGCTGTACCACACCCTCTGCAGTGTGTGTGCACGCGCTGGCGCAGCGACCCATACACTCTTCTCACAACCCCCTTCCTCCCTCTCACGCCCCTCCAACAGAAATCCACGAGCCCAAGGGCATAGCTGTACCACACCCTCTGCAGTGTGTGTGCACGCGGTGGCGCAGCGACCCATACACTCTTCTCACAACCCCCTTCCTCCCTCTCACGCCCCTCCTACAGAAATCCACGAGCCCAAGGGCATAGCTGTACCACACCCTCTGCAGTGTGTGTGCACGCGCTGGCGCAGCGACCCATACACTCTTCTCACAACCCCCTTCCTCCCTCTCACGCCCCTCCTACAGAAATCCACGAGCCCAAGGGCATAGCTGTACCACACCCTCTGCAGTGTGTGTGCACGCGCTGGCGCAGCGACCCATACACTCTTCTCACAACCCCCTTCCTCCCTCTCACGCCCCTCCTACAGAAATCCACGAGCCCAAGGGCATAGCTGTACCACACCCTCTGCAGTGTGTGTGCACGTGGTGGCGCAGCGACCCATACACTCTTCTCACAACCCCCTTCCTCCCTCTCACGCCCCTCCTACAGAAATCCACGAGCCCAAGGGCATAGCTGTACCACACCCTCTGCAGTGTGTGTGCACGCGCTGGCGCAGCGACCCATACACTCTTCTCACAACCCCCTTCCTCCCTCTCACGCCCCTCCAACAGAAATCCACGAGCCCAAGGGCATAGCTGTACCACACCCTCTGCAGTGTGTGTGCACGCGGTGGCGCAGCGACCCATACACTCTTCTCACAACCCCCTTCCTCCCTCTCACGCCCCTCCTACAGAAATCCACGAGCCCAAGGGCATAGCTGTACCACACCCTCTGCAGTGTGTGTGCACGCGCTGGCGCAGCGACCCATACACTCTTCTCACAACCCCCTTCCTCCCTCTCACGCCCCTCCTACAGAAATCCACGAGCCCAAGGGCATAGCTGTACCACACCCTCTGCAGTGTGTGTGCACGCGCTGGCGCAGCGACCCATACACTCTTCTCACAACCCCCTTCCTCCCTCTCACGCCCCTCCTACAGAAATCCACGAGCCCAAGGGCATAGCTGTACCACACCCTCTGCAGTGTGTGTGCACGTGGTGGCGCAGCGACCCATACACTCTTCTCACAACCCCCTTCCTCCCTCTCACGCCCCTCCTACAGAAATCCACGAGCCCAAGGGCATAGCTGTACCACACCCTCTGCAGTGTGTGTGCACGCGCTGGCGCAGCGACCCATACACTCTTCTCACAACCCCCTTCCTCCCTCTCACGCCCCTCCAACAGAAATCCACGAGCCCAAGGGCATAGCTGTACCACACCCTCTGCAGTGTGTGTGCACGCGGTGGCGCAGCGACCCATACACTCTTCTCACAACCCCCTTCCTCCCTCTCACGCCCCTCCTACAGAAATCCACGAGCCCAAGGGCATAGCTGTACCACACCCTCTGCAGTGTGTGTGCACGCGCTGGCGCAGCGACCCATACACTCTTCTCACAACCCCCTTCCTCCCTCTCACGCTCCTCCTACAGAAATCCACGAGCCCAAGGGCATAGCTGTACCACACCCTCTGCAGTGTGTGTGCACGCGCTGGCGCAGCGACCCATACACTCTTCTCACAACCCCCTTCCTCCCTCTCACGCCCCTCCTACAGAAATCCACGAGCCCAAGGGCATAGCTGTACCACACCCTCTGCAGTGTGTGTGCACGCGCTGGCGCAGCGACCCATACACTCTTCTCACAACCCCCTTCCTCCCTCTCACGCCCCTCCTACAGAAATCCACGAGCCCAAGGGCATAGCTGTACCACACCCTCTGCAGTGTGTGTGCACGCGCTGGCGCAGCGACCCATACACTCTTCTCACAACCCCCTTCCTCCCTCTCACGCCCCTCCTACAGAAATCCACGAGCCCAAGGGCATAGCTGTACCACACCCTCTGCAGTGTGTGTGCACGCGGTGGCGCAGCGACCCGTATGCGGGGGGCTCGTACTCGTACGTGCGCGTGGCAGCCTCGGGGGATGATTACGATACACTGGCAGAGAGCGTGGACGAGCGGCTCTTCTTTGCTGGCGAGGTGAGATTGTGATGGTTCGCAGTGACTTGAAACTAGGTGCGTTGATTGTGATTGCCTTCGTGCGTGTGGCGGCATCAGGAGACGATTACGATACACTGGCAGAGAGCGTGGACGAGCGACTCTTCTTTTCTGGCGAGGTGCGTACCACACATTTGAGAGGACTAGATGCACGTGTGAGCTTCACATGTGTCCCTGAATGTGGCGGCATTGAGGGACGACCGACCACGATACATACACTGGCAGAGAGTGTGGACGAGCGGCTCTTTCTCTCTCGCTGGCGAGGTGAGCTTATGACGGGGGTTGCAGTGAGATATGGTGAGATCGCGGTGTGATTGCTGTGATACGGTGAGATGGCAGTTGGGTGCCCCACAAAGGAGTTGTGTTCCGTGCCGGCTCAAAACTAGGGGCACTGTGTGAGCGCTTCTGTGCCACCTTGTGGCATCACCTGCTTAGCACTCATCCACACATGCAGACGCCCTCACCCTCCCTCTGCCTTACTCTATCTTCCTCTCCTCTTCAGGCCACTAGCCGCCACTACCCCAGTACCTACCATGCACGGATCATTTTTTTCCGTTCACATGCACACGCGATCCTTCTCTCTCCTTGTTTATTTCTCTCCCTTCGTTCCATTCTCTCTGCTCTCCTGCAGGCCACGAGTCGTCACTACCCCGCCACCATGCACGGAGCGTGTTTCAGCGGCCTCAGAGATTACAATCAGACACACTCACACACAGTATGAGCACGCCCTCGAACTCATTCTCTAGCTCCTTCTTTCTTCCTCTCCCCTTCAGGCCACGAGTCGTCACTACCCCGCCACCATGCACGGAGCCTGTTTCAGCGGCCTTAGAGAAGCAGCCAAGATCAACCAAGTCGCCACGGCTGCCGAAGCTGCCCGGGCAGCTAAAGCAGCGCGGGATACTCAAACCGCACCTGCTGGCACCACCACAGGGCAAAGCACACCCATGAGCACAAGTGCAGGCATATCAATCCCAAGCAAGAGCCCCAGCACGAGCACAGCACCTGCAGACACAGCTGCACACACAACCTCAGGCAAGGGCCCGGCCACGGGCATGGTGAGCAAGGGCACAGGCATGGGGGCAGAAGCAACATCGCCAGCAGCAGCAGGAGCAGCAGCAACTCCAGCGGTGGGCATGGGCATGCAGATGGCGGTGTGTCTGCTGGATGCTCTGTTCAGCGATCCTGACCTCGAGTTTGGTGCCTTTGCTGTTCTCTTTGACCCCCGCGGCTGCCAGCCTGACCGCGCTGCTGTGCTGCGCATCACACTTAGGAAGGATGCCTTCTTGCCAAGGCTACCCGCTGCTCCTGCTGCTGCTGCTACTGCTGCTTCTGTCCCTGCTGCTGCTGCTGCCTCTCCAGCAAGAGTGAGTGAAGATGCAGCAGCAGTAGCTGCAGCGAAGGAAGCAGCAGGGAGGCGAAAGGCAGAGGCTGCGAGAGAATGGGGTCCTGCAGTGAACACTCCCGTGTCACAAACCCATGTGGAGAAAAATGAGAGTCAATCAAGCCATCCATTAAAGGAAGCAGAAAATAAGCCATCTAGCACTACTCTACCTCCCCCACCGGCTGCTGCTGCAGCCAACACCACATGGCCCCTTCCCCAGATGACCCTGCACACAGTTGTCACCCGCCACCAGGCCTTGCTGCTCCGGGAGGTTCGGGGGAGTGATGCGGCTCGGCTGGCGATCCTGACGAGCAGGTTCGGGGTGAAGCTGGTGGGGAGGCGCGGGCTGGGGCAGATGGGGGAGGAGGTGTTAGAGGCAGTAAGGGAAGCGAGAGCTGCTAGCAGGAGGAAGCTTGGTGTGATTTGACAAGGTGCTTTGGTATAGGCTCATACGGTAGTTGAAATGGGCTGGGGCGGGGCAGATGAGGGAGGAGGTGGTGGACGCAGTGAGGCAGGTGAGACCTGCTAGCAGGAGGAAGCTTGGTGTGATTTGACAAGGTGATTTGGTATAGGCTCCAATAGTTGAAATGGGCTGGACTGGGGCAGATGGGGGAGGAGGTGCTGGAAGCTGTGAGGGAGGCGAGACCTGCTAGCAGGGAGGAGGCTTGGTGTGATTCGACCTCGTTCGAGGAGGAGTTTGGCTTGTGGTATGGGCTCATGCGGGAGGAATGGTCTGGTTGGGAATCAAGATGGGTAAGATGGGGGAGGAGGTGCTGGAGGGATTGTATATACCATTGTTAATATCTTTATATTTGAATGTGCAATGAGAGGTCGAATTGATTGATGGCTAGTGGAAGGGGTGGTTAAATCTTTTTTTTTTTTCAATGCAGGTATGACCTGGGAGCCAGCCAACCTGGGGGTTTTCTCATAGGCTGATGCTTTTAGTTTGGGAATGTGCAGTGGATGGGTGCGTTTATGAAATAAAATAAAACTTGAATTGTAGCTATGCGTTTCGCCTTGCCTCATTCCCTTCTGCCGCGTATTAGGGTATCGGGATTTGTTATGGGCAGCATTGTAGGTTCTGGCCTGGCCTGGACCCAGCCAAACCAATGGATGGTTTGCCCTTGGAACGCGTTGGTGGTGGTCTGTGCGACCATGCGATTGACTGTGAGACGATGCGAGAGCAACGAAAGTGTGCGAGCAGCGAAATTTGTTCGAGTGGGCCAAAAACTTGCAATAATGCAGGTGTGCGTGCTGTGATAGGCTCCGCTACTGCTGACTTCATACCTGGATCAGTCGCCGCATTCTTCGCCAAAGTGACGCATCAATAAGTGAAGCATCAATCAGTGACGCAGGCGCTCTTCAGCGGCGCCCCTGGGAGCGTCCCGGACTTCGTCTCTAAACCACCCGCTCGCTAGAGCAGCCATGGAATCATCTCTTCCGCCTCCGTTTCTGTGCCATATCCTGCTGCATTTTAAACCGGTAGTAGCGCCAGCAGCTGTACCAAGAACCGCTTTACCTACCACTACTAGTAGCCTCGAGTTGTACCAAGAACCTCATCAGTTCAAAATCACCTCGGCGTTGCGCTATTCAGTGCACATCCGCCATTCACGCGTGCGACCCCAGAGCCGGTCGATTGGCCGACGGAGGCTCAAGTCACTCGGTTGTGCGTGCTCAGGTCAAGCAGCTGACGTGGCAGCTCGACCGCAATGGCCACCTTTCCTTCCGCGCTGCTTCCGCTCCTCATCCTTTCCGTCATCATTGGAGGCGAGTCGTTGGGTTTATTGGAGGCGAGCCGTTTCTGTCCTCTCTACATTGAAGTTATATTTGAGGCGCCTGAAATATACCGTCGTCATTGGAGGCGAGTCATTTCTCTCCTCTGCTTCTCTTGGGGTTTCTGGGTTGAGAAGCGCGCACGCTTGTTTCCCTCTCACCCCTCTGCTCCCTCTCACCCCTCTGCTCCCTCTCACCCCTCTGCTCCCTCTCACCCCTCTGCTCCCTCTCACCCCCTCTGCTCCTTCTGCCTCCAGTGGCCGCAATGGCTCACGTGGCGGCAGGCGAAGGCACGGATCGCCTGAACGGCCATGTGCAAGTGAGCAGCGCGCGCAACAATGTGGCTTTTGAGGCGCCTCAAAAGGCAGGCGAAGGCACGAATCCCCTGAACGCCCATGTGCAAGTGAGCAGCGCGGGCTCCACTGTGGCGGCGAGGAGGAGCATCAAAAGCGATGGCACGACAGCAGGAAGCAAGAACTTGAGCATGGGAGTGGGGTTGGGTGTGGGGTTGGGGGTGAGGGTGGCGGGCAGTGGCGGCACAGGCGGAGCGGTGGGCGCGAGCGTGCAGGTGGCGACGCAGATCACGGTGCCAGGCGTCAGCCTGCCCGTCAGCTTCGACGCCCTCCGCTGCTTCACCCTTCCCCGCGCAGCGGCCAAGGGCGCGCGGGACGTGCAGGTGTGGTGGCATGGGCTGGCGGGTAACAGCAAGGGCGGCAGCAAGGGTGCGGCGTGCAAGCAGCTGCGGTTCTTTGCCAACCCCGCCTGCAAGGGCAAGGCGCTGGATGAGGTGCTCAAGCCGCAATACGCCGGCCTGCGCAAATTCTTCCACGTGCCCAGGTGGGTGTTGGGGCAGCCTGGCAGGTGGGTGGGTCATGGGGGTTAGGTGGCTTCTATTGGGTTGTGCCTCTGTAAAGTGTTTCTAACGTCTGATCTGATCTTGTTCTAAACTTTTAATTTGAACGTGCTTTTGACGTTTGCAGCAAGAAGAAGGTCGCCCGATGGACTTCTGTTGCTTGCCAGCCTGGTGCGTGCCTTGCCTCCATGCCTCCATGCCACCTTGCCATCATGCCTCCTTGCCTCCATGCCTCCATGCCACCTTGCCATCATGCCACCTTGCCTCCATGCCTCCATGCCACCTTGCCATCATGCCACCTTGCCTCCATGCCTCCATGCCACCTTGCCATCATGCCACCTTGCCTCCATGCCTCCTTGCCACCTTGCCATCATCCCACCTTGCCTCCATGCCTCCTTGCCACCTTGCCATCATGCCACCTTGCCTCCATGCCTCCTTGCCACCTTGCCATCATGCCACCTTGCCTCCATGCCTCCTTGCCACCTTGCCATCATGCCACCTTGCCTCCATGCCTCCTTGCCACCTTGCCATCATGCCACCTTGCCTCCATGCCTCCTTGCCACCTTGCCATCATGCCACCTTGCCTCCATGCCTCCTTGCCACCTTGCCATCATGCCACCTTGCCTCCATGCCTCCATGCCACCTTGCCATCATGCCTCCTTGCCTCCATGCCTCCTTGCCACCTTGCCATCATGCCACCTTGCCTCCATGCCTCCATGCCACCTTGCCATCATGCCACCTTGCCTCCATGCCTCCATGCCACCTTGCCATCATGCCACCTTGCCTCCATGCCTCCTTGCCACCTTGCCATCATCCCACCTTGCCTCCATGCCTCCTTGCCACCTTGCCATCATGCCACCTTGCCTCCATGCCTCCTTGCCACCTTGCCATCATGCCACCTTGCCTCCATGCCTCCTTGCCACCTTGCCATCATGCCACCTTGCCTCCATGCCTCCTTGCCACCTTGCCATCATGCCACCTTGCCTCCATGCCTCCTTGCCACCTTGCCATCATGCCACCTTGCCTCCATGCCTCCTTGCCACCTTGCCATCATGCCACCTTGCCTCCATGCCTCCATGCCACCTTGCCATCATGCCACCTTGCCTCCATGCCTCCATGCCACCTTGCCATCATGCCACCTTGCCTCCATGCCTCCTTGCCACCTTGCCATCATGCCACCTTGCCTCCATGCCTCCTTGCCACCTTGCCATCATGCCACCTTGCCTCCATGCCTCCTTGCCACCTTGCCATCATGCCACCTTGCCTCCATGCCTCCTTGCCACCTTGCCATCATGCCACCTTGCCTCCATGCCTCCTTGCCACCTTGCCATCATGCCTCCTTGCCTCCATGCCTCCATGCCTCCATGCCTCCATGCCTCCATGCCACCATGCCACCTTGCCATCATGCCTCCTTGCCTCCATGCCTCCATGCCACCTTGCCATCATGCCACCTTGCCTCCATGCCTCCATGCCACCTTGCCATCATGCCACCTTGCCTCCATGCCTCCTTGCCACCTTGCCATCATGCCACCTTGCCTCCATGCCTCCTTGCCACCTTGCCATCATGCCACCTTGCCTCCATGCCTCCTTGCCACCTTGCCATCATGCCACCTTGCCTCCATGCCTCCTTGCCACCTTGCCATCATGCCACCTTGCCTCCATGCCTCCTTGCCACCTTGCCATCATGCCACCTTGCCTCCATGCCTCCATGCCACCTTGCCATCATGCCACCTTGCCTCCATGCCTCCTTGCCACCTTGCCATCATGCCACCTTGCCTCCATGCCTCCTTGCCACCTTGCCATCATGCCACCTTGCCTCCATGCCTCCTTGCCACCTTGCCATCATGCCTCCTTGCCTCCATGCCTCCATGCCTCCATGCCTCCATGCCTCCATGCCACCATGCCACCTTGCCATCATGCCTCCTTGCCTCCATGCCTCCTTGCCACCGTGCCCCCTTGCCTCCCTTCCTCCATGCCACCTTGCCATCATGTCACCTTGCCTCCATGCCTCCTTGCCACCTTGCCATCATGCCACCTTGCCTCCATGCCTCCTTGCCACCTTGCCATCATGCCACCTTGCCTCCATGCCTCCTTGCCACCTTGCCATCATGCCACCTTGCCTCCATGCCTCCATGCCACCTTGCCATCATGCCACCTTGCCTCCATGCCTCCTTGCCACCTTGCCATCATGCCACCTTGCCTCCATGCCTCCTTGCCACCTTGCCATCATGCCACCTTGCCTCCATGCCTCCTTGCCACCTTGCCATCATGCCACCTTGCCTCCATGCCTCCTTGCCACCTTGCCATCATGCCACCTTGCCTCCATGCCTCCTTGCCACCTTGCCATCATGCCACCTTGCCTCCATGCCTCCATGCCACCTTGCCATCATGCCACCTTGCCTCCATGCCTCCATGCCACCTTGCCATCATGCCACCTTGCCTCCATGCCTCCTTGCCACCTTGCCATCATGCCACCTTGCCTCCATGCCTCCTTGCCACCTTGCCATCATGCCACCTTGCCTCCATGCCTCCTTGCCACCTTGCCATCATGCCTCCTTGCCTCCATGCCTCCTTGCCACCTTGCCATCATGCCTCCTTGCCTCCATGCCTCCATGCCTCCATGCCTCCATGCCTCCATGCCACCATGCCACCTTGCCATCATGCCTCCTTGCCTCCATGCCTCCTTGCCACCGTGCCCCCTTGCCTCCCTTCCTCCATGCCACCTTGCCATCATGCCACCTTGCCTCCATGCCTCCTTGCCACCTTGCCATCATGCCACCTTGCCTCCATGCCTCCTTGCCTCCATGCCATCATGCCACCTTGCCTCCATGCCTCCATGCCACCTTGCCATCATGCCACCTTGCCTCCATGCCTCCATGCCACCTTGCCACCATGCCACCTTGCCTCCATGCCTCCTTGCCACCTTGCCATCATCCCACCTTGCCTCCATGCCTCCTTGCCACCTTGCCATCATGCCACCTTGCCTCCATGCCTCCTTGCCACCTTGCCATCATGCCACCTTGCCTCCATGCCTCCTTGCCACCTTGCCATCATGCCACCTTGCCTCCATGCCTCCTTGCCACCTTGCCTCCATGCCTCCTTGCCTCCATGCCTCCATGCCTCCATGCCTCCTTGCCACCTTGCCATCATGCCACCTTGCCTCCATGCCTCCTTGCCACCTTGCCATCATGCCACCTTGCCTCCATGCCTCCTTGCCACCTTGCCATCATGCCACCTTGCCTCCATGCCTCCTTGCCACCTTGCCATCATGCCACCTTGCCTCCATGCCTCCTTGCCACCTTGCCTCCATGCCTCCTTGCCTCCATGCCTCCATGCCTCCATGCCTCCTTGCCACCTTGCCATCATGCCACCTTGCCTCCATGCCTCCTTGCCACCTTGCCATCATGCCACCTTGCCTCCATGCCTCCTTGCCACCTTGCCATCATGCCACCTTGCCTCCATGCCTCCTTGCCACCTTGCCATCATGCCACCTTGCCTCCATGCCTCCTTGCCACCTTGCCATCATGCCACCTTGCCTCCATGCCTCCTTGCCACCTTGCCATCATGCCTCCTTGCCTCCATGCCTCCTTGCCACCTTGCCATCATGCCACCTTGCCTCCATGCCTCCTTGCCACCTTGCCATCATGCCACCTTGCCTCCATGCCTCCTTGCCACCTTGCCATCATGCCTCCTTGCCTCCATGCCTCCATGCCTCCATGCCTCCATGCCTCCATGCCACCATGCCACCTTGCCATCATGCCTCCTTGCCTCCATGCCTCCTTGCCTCCATGCCTCCTTGCCACCGTGCCCCCTTGCCTCCCTTCCTCCATGCCACCTTGCCATCATGCCACCTTGCCTCCATGCCTCCTTGCCACCTTGCCATCATGCCACCTTGCCTCCATGCCTCCTTGCCACCTTGCCATCATGCCACCTTGCCTCCATGCCTCCATGCCACCTTGCCATCATGCCACCTTGCCTCCATGCCTCCATGCCACCTTGCCATCATGCCACCTTGCCTCCATGCCTCCTTGCCACCTTGCCATCATGCCACCTTGCCTCCATGCCTCCTTGCCACCTTGCCACATGCTGCACACATCTCTTGCACCTCCTCTATGAAAACGGGCTTCTTGCATTCCTGCATCAAACCATGTGGTGTCACCGGCTGTGCCGCACGCATCTCTGCTGTTCCCCATGCACGCCAGACATCACTTGCGAGCATGCCAAGTGTCCGAGCAATTCCATGTGCAAGCCAGAGAATGACAGCCACGGCGTCATTTGTGAATGCAACAAAGGCTTTGTTCCCGTCACTGGCACTTGCGTAGGTACGGTGCTTGTGCTACCTCCTCTCTTGTGCTCTCTCTTGCGCTTTTTGCCTCCCTTTCACCTGCAGTTTGCCCATTTTGTTCTTGAGGATGATTTCCAACCATTGATTTTTTTTTGGGCTTCTTTTGAATTGGAAGAATGGCATCGTTAAGAAACGGGTGCTGGATAGCAAGTTATAAACTTACTGGCATAACTTTATGACCAGCCTCAATCCAATACACCCTTTCCTTGTGTCACACTTGCATCACAGGAACAGGATGCGCCCTGTTCCTGTAACGAGGGTTTTGAAATGATTGCCAATGGCACTTGTGCGGGTGAGGTGTGTTGCTTTGAAAGCTAAGAGAATGCTCGGACTTTCTTTCCCTTGCAGATGTGTGTGCTTCATTCAAATGTGGGCCTGGTGGCAACTGCACGAGGGATGCAAACGGAAATCCATCGTGTAGTTGCAGCGCTGGCTTCACGCTGTCTTCTGACAAGCTTTCTTGCATTGGTGAGTTGGAGGGGTGCAACACAGAGGGCGTGCCTTGCGTTTTGGACCCAGTCCTTGAAACTTGACCTTCCTTCAACTCAAGTTTTGGCTAGAGTTGCTGAAAGTGTGTGCGTGTTCAACACAGTGACCCTTGATTGTCAAAAGATCGGAGCACTATATGTCGTTACAATATCTTTTCTCTTGCCTGGATTTCTTTGCTGCAGACAACTGTGATGCGGTGAAGTGTGGGCCTGGCGGCAACTGCACGAGGGATGCAAACGGAAATCCATCGTGTAGTTGCAGCGCTGGCTTCACGCCGTCTTCTGACAATCTCTCTTGCATTGGTGAGTTGGAGGGGTGCAACACAGAGGGCGTTTCTTACGTTTCAAAACCAATTCTTGAACGTTGTCTTTCCTTCAACTCAAAATTTTGGTTGAGTTATTGGAGTTGGCGCGTATTCTCAACGACCCTTGCTTCTCAAGATCCGAGCATTATTTTTATTTTTTTTGTACTGTCCTTCCTCTCGCCTTGGCTCTCTTTTCTGCAGACAACTGTGATGCGGTGAAGTGCGGGCCGGGCGGCAACTGCACAAGAAATGCGAGCGGAAATCCATCCTGTTCATGCAGCGCTGGCTTCACGCCGTCTTCTGACAAGCTCTCTTGCGTTGGTGAGTCGGAGGAGTGCAATTTAGAGGGCATGCCTTGCGTTTCAGACCCAATTCTTAAACTCAAACGGTCCGTTGTATTGATTCAGCAGGGGTACAGACATGCAGTGTTGTATATGATAGCTTCAATCCCTCTAGCCCTTGAACCCACCTTCCTTAAACTCGGTCTCCTCTCACCTGAAACTTGTTGCAAGAGTTGATGAATCGCGTTTGTGACACTTGATTTTCAAGATCCCGGCTTAATTGTTTTTTTTTATATGATGATGATCCTATGACTTGCCTGGCTCTCTTTTTCACAGACAATTGTGCTGCAGAGGATTGTGGGCCCAATGGCAACTTTTGAGGCGCCTCAAAAGCCCAATGGCAACTTTTGAGGCGCCTCAAAAGCCCAATGGCAACTTTTGAGGCGCCTCAAAAATGGCAAGTGCGCGAAGAAGGATAAGGGGACGCAACCTGCGAGTGCGACTCGGGCTTTGGGATGCCTTCCGACCAACTGCGTTGCGTCGGTGAGTTGCTGTGGTCTCGTCTGCAGGATGGATATGCCATTGCAACGAGGTGATGCAGGATGAATATAGCTGCTGCAACTCCATTGTTAAGCATGCATACTCCACCTGTATTTCTCTTTCCCTTTCGATCACCCCCGACCACCCCCCCTCCTCCCACCACCTCCATCCCCCGTTCCCCCCTCGCACCCCACCCCCCTCCCTTTTTTTGTTAACTTTTTTTTTTTTTCCCCCTCCTCCTTTTACCCTTTTCCCCTCTCTTTGACCCTTGACCCCATCCTTCTTTGCACTCACATCAGGCACAGCTTGCTCTGAGTTGGGCTGCGAACCGGATGGGGATTGTGTGAACACCGATGGAGTTCACTCTTGCAAGTGGAGTAAGCATGGCTTTCAGCTTTCTCTACACCCAACCCAGCCCATCCGCACCGCACTCATTCTCTACCATCTCCACCATCTCTTTCATTTGGTGCAGTCTACTCCACATTTGAGTGAAGCTGGCGCATTTGCCAAGCTCATTTTGCCATCTCTCTGCCGCACCGTGCGTCTGCCTTGCGTGCTGCTGTGTTCCCCAGAGTCACCCTGCGGCACGTGTCCCACTGGCGCCACCTGCAAAACCGTCCACCTGCATCTCACCCGAAAGTTCTTCAACTTGGAGTGTATCAGTCGCACCAACATGGGATCAGATTTTGGATGACCAAAAGCCCCAACATGCAGCAGTCAACTTGGACGCCATGTCAGATTTTGCCTTCACCATCCTTTTCCATCCCGGTTCATAACATCACGTTTCCCCGCGTCCTTGCTCCCCGTTTCCCCTTCTTCTTGTGCCATCCTTTCTCAGATTCACCCAACGAAGTGCTTGCCAGCAGTGTGACATTCATCCAGGATCGTAGTGCCAGAGGCAAGGCGTCCAAGCCCTACACCCTCCGTCTCAAATATGGCTGCACTCAGTTGCCGGAGGGGGTGGCTGGGAATTTCACGACGGCATATGAGCTGTTGTACATCGGTGGTGGTCCGAGTTGCGAACGGTTCAGATGGTATGACACGGATAACTGCGTCTCGAGCAGTGTACTGGAGCGTGCAAATTTTCTTCAGACCCCAAATGCTGCATTCGCAAATACGTGAGTGGTGATTTGTACCATAAGTCAGTCAGCAGTCTGCATTTTGTCATCAAGTATGTCAATCAATATGCACTTTACATTTCATTGTACCATTAAAAAAAAATGCATTATATATTTCATCATACTATGATCTCAATGGTGCGCTTTACTATGCACTGCGCTTTACTATGCACTGCACTTTACTATGCATTGCACTGTACTATGCATTGCATTGTACTATGCATTGCACTTTACTGTGCAGTGCACTGTGCTATGCATTGCATTTTACTGTGCAGTGCACTGTACTATGCATTGCACTTTACTATGCATTGCACTTTACTATGCATTGCACTGTACTGTGCAGTGCGCTGTACTGTGCAGTGCACTGTACTATGCATTGCACTTTACTATGCATTGCACTTTACTATGCATTGCACTTTACTATGCATTGCACTGTACTATGCGTTGCACTGTACTATGCATTGCACTGTAGCATGTGTTGCACTTTTAGACCTTTACCCAAAACCGTCTATCTCAGTAATTGTTTCTTTTCTTGTACTGGTATGCGCTTTTCTTTTCTTTCTTGCATTATCAACCAGGTTCCGAAATCCCTTAAACTTCCGCTCTTTTTGGTGCGGTGATGCCTAGTGTTCTCTCCTGCCCGCGTCTGATCCACTCAACCATGGAAATCAGTGCCCGACAGCTTGGCATGTTACTCATTTAGTCCCGAGAAATGACTTTCTCCTCCTGCTCTAGTCCCCAGAACGAGTTTTCTTCCTGTCACAGTCCTCAGAAATGAGGTTTTCTCCCGCTTTTGTCCCCAGATAGCAGACCCAGCAGTGTTGTTTGTACACCTGAGGGCATGTAATCCAAGATGTGTTTGTACTAATTAGTACTTCATTAACAGGGCCTCAGATTCGTTTGGGGGTACACTGAGGCCTCAGGGCAGTTTTTAGGAAATCAGAATTTGCCCTGAATTGTCAGGGCTGCACAGGGTGAGGTATCCTGAAATGCCAGTGCTACATTTAAGAGTATCCTGTAAATTTAGTGCTACATTCAGCAATAGGTAAAGTGTTGTAGCGGGTAAAGTGATAATGCGATACGCGAAAGGTCTCTTGTTCGATTTCTACTGGCTCCTATATTTGTGGTGCTCGCCCGTACATACTTTAGCCCCAAAACCCAGGAGATTTTTCGTACAGTACATCTCGCCTCAGAGCGTGATTCGACACTATCCTGACTCATCAGGGCTGAACCTACAGCCTTATCCTGAGTTTTCAGTACGCAAAATAACCGTTATACTGAAATTACAGGACAATTATTCCTGTTATGCTGTTTTTCCAGGACTAGCACACGACACCTATCCTGAATTCAGGAGAATCAGGATAAATTATCCTGATAACTGAGGCCCTGTTCATTAACGATACTGCACCCTACTTTACTATTTAATACGCTATCTTGCAGAACACCCATCACTGTTGTTTTTGCCTGCAGACAGGCTGCAGACAAGCATCATACACATGAAACGCGGCAAGACGTGCGGTGGCCACACGAGATGAATACCGCCTTGCGCTTGCGATGCAGACACACCACACAGACAGAGCTCCCCGCTCTGCACCACTTCTCCCATCACCATTCTTCCTAACACAACACTCGTACCGGTAATTGAATTGACACAGCACTACCTATGGTATTTCAAGCATCGTACACACGAAAAGCAGCCAGAACCTGCCCCCGACAAATGGGACACAGCGATTGCTCCACCCTCACAACCCTCGAACATGATAGACAACACACGCGGTGGCCACACGGAATAAACACTGCCTTGCGCTTGCGATGCAGACACACCACACAGAGCTCCCCGCTCTGCACCTCCTCCCCCACCACCTCCTCCTCATCCGCATCCCCACCTCGAATCAGATTCTCCAAACTCCTCTCAAATTCCGAAGGCGAAGCTGCTATTACACCGCCTTCAGCATTCTCCCATCTACTCCCTTCTGCCTCTGCCCCTGTTCTTACTCCTGCCCCTGTTCCTGCTGCCCCTGTTCCTGCTGCTCCTGTTCCTGCTGCTCCTGCTCTTCCTCCTGCTCCCATTCCTCCTGTTCCTGCTGTCTGCTGCTGCCTCTCCAGGAGAATCGCCATCCACCTTTCCAGCTCTGCCTGCTCCACCTGCTGCCGCCGCTGCCGCCTGACTTGCCGGCGGCGATACGTCCTGATAGTGTATGAGGGAGAGGAGATGGAGAGGGGGGGAAGTGAGGAAGGGGTGGGAGCAGAGCAGCAGTGCCAGAAGGGAGCATCGTTCCAGCTCTGCCTGCTCCATCTGCTGCCGCCGCTGCCGCCTGGCCTGCGGGCAACGGTACGTCCTGACCAGGAGGAAGAGCATGACGGTAGAGCATGACCAGGAGGATAGGGGGAAGAGAGGGGGTGGAACAGAGGAGGAGAGGGGAGGAAATGAGAAAGAAGTGAGGGTAGTGATGTGAGGAGCTCTGCCTGCTCCATCTGCTTTTTGAGCTCCTCATCTCAAAAGCCATGTGAGGAGCTCTGCCTGCTCCATCTGCTTTTTGAGCTCCTCATCTCAAAAGCCATGTGAGGAGCTCTGCCTGCTCCATCTGCTTTTTGAGCTCCTCATCTCAAAAGCCATGTGAGGAGCTCTGCCTGCTCCATCTGCTTTTTGAGCTCCTCATCTCAAAAGCCATGTGAGGAGCTCTGCCTGCTCCATCTGCTTTTTGAGCTCCTCATCTCAAAAGCCATGTGAGGAGCTCTGCCTGTTCCATCTGCTTTTTGAGCTCCTCATCTCAAAAGCCATGTGAGGAGCTCTGCCTGCTCCATCTGCTTTTTGAGCTCCTCATCTCAAAAGCCATGTGAGGAGCTCTGCCTGCTCCATCTGCTTTTTGAGCTCCTCATCTCAAAAGCCATGTGAGGAGCTCTGCCTGCTCCATCTGCTTTTTGAGCTCCTCATCTCAAAAGCCATGTGAGGAGCTCTGCCTGCTCCATCTGCTTTTTGAGCTCCTCATCTCAAAAGCCATGTGAGGAGCTCTGCCTGCTCCATCTGCTTTTTGAGCTCCTCATCTCAAAAGCCATGTGAGGAGCTCTGCCTGCTCCATCTGCTTTTTGAGCTCCTCATCTCAAAAGCCATGTGAGGAGCTCTGCCTGCTCCATCTGCTTTTTGAGCTCCTCATCTCAAAAGCCATGTGAGGAGCTCTGCCTGCTCCATCTGCTTTTTGAGCTCCTCATCTCAAAAGCCATGTGAGGAGCTCTGCCTGCTCCATCTGCTTTTTGAGCTCCTCATCTCAAAAGCCATGTGAGGAGCTCTGCCTGCTCCATCTGCTTTTTGAGCTCCTCATCTCAAAAGCCATCTGAGGAGCTCTGCCTGCTCCATCTGCTGCCGCCGCTGCCTCCGATGCCGCCTGGCCTGCCAGGGACAGTAGGCCAGGGGGCATGAGGCGGAGACGACATGACCAAGAGGAGAGGGAGTGGGTGAAAGAGGATAAACGGGATGAGATGAGATGAGTGGATACGAGAGGGAGGCAAGGGAGAAAGGGTTAAGTGCATTATGAACAGGAGTGGTAGCGATGAGGGGATGGGAGACAGAAGAGGAAGGGAAGGCTTGTGACGCACGAATCAGGATGGCAGTGGAAAGAGCAGAACAGTCCAACACAACACACCAGTGGTAGAAAAAGGAAAAACCTTTCTCACGGCTCCCTTTCAACACAACCTGGTTTTTTAGAATTCTCAAGAACCTTCTCACGGCTCCCTTTCAACACAAACTTTTGAGTCGTCTCAAAAGCTCTCTTGCAACTTTCGGAACTTCCACACAGCCAGAGCCGATAACGCCTGCAGCGGCGGCAGAGAGCAGCAACCCTTGCACCCACGCACACCCACATGCACACTTCAACACCCACCTACACCCACGCCCACACCCACAACCACACCCACACCCACATGCACGAACTTCCACACAGCAAGGCCGATAACGCCTGCAGCGGAGGCAGAGAGCAGCACACAGCAACCCTTGCACCCACGCACACACACACAGCCACACACACACACCCACACACACGCGCGCATGCACACACCCACACACACACACCACACACACACACACACACACACACACACACACACACACACACACACACACACACACACACACGTACTTCCACACAGCAAGGCCGATGACGCCTGCAGCGGCAGCAGACAGCAGCACTCCCCATCCAAGCAGCGCCCCCCACCGCTGGTTGAGCTTCTGCATCATGCCCGCCTTGGTCTCTGGGAAGCTGGAAAAAGATGGGAGAAAGGGGTAATATAAGAGATTGGCCGTTAACATGCACCCCAGCCCTCCCCACCCCAGCAGTGCTCCCCACCGCTCGTTCGGCTTCTGAATCATGCCCGCCTTGGTCTCTGGGAAGCTGGAAAAAGATGGGAGAAAGGGGTAATATAAGAGATTGGCCGTTAACATGCACCCCAGCCCTCCCCACCCCAGCAGTGCTCCCCACCGCTCGTTCGGCTTCTGAATCATGCCCGCCTTGGTCTCTGGGAAGCTGGAAAAAGATGGGAGAAAGGGGTAATATAAGAGATTGGCCGTTAACATGCACCCCAGCCCTCCCCACCCCAGCAGTGCTCCCCACCGCTCGTTCGGCTTCTGAATCATGCCCGCCTTGGACTCTGGGAAGCTGGAAAAAGATGGGAGAAAGGGGTAATATAAGAGATTGGCCGTTAACATGCACCCCAGCCCTCCCCACCCCAGCAGTGCTCCCCACCGCTCGTTCGGCTTCTGAATCATGCCCGCCTTGGACTCTGGGAAGCTGGAAAAAGATGGGAGAAAGGGGTAATATAAGAGATTGGCCGTTAACATGCACCCCAGCCCTCCCCACCCCAGCAGTGCTCCCCACCGCTCGTTCGGCTTCTGAATCATGCCCGCCTTGGTCTCTGGGAAGCTGGAAAAAGATGGGAGAAAGGGGTAATATAAGAGATTGGCCGTTAACATGCACCCCAGCCCTCCCCACCCCAGCAGTGCTCCCCACCGCTCGTTCGGCTTCTGAATCATGCCCGCCTTGGACTCTGGGAAGCTGGAAAAAGATGGGAGAAAGGGGTAATATAAGAGATTGGCCGTTAACATGCACCCCAGCCCTCCCCACCCCAGCAGTGCTCCCCACCGCTCGTTCGGCTTCTGAATCATGCCCGCCTTGGACTCTGGGAAGCTGGAAAAAGATGGGAGAAAGGGGTAATATAAGAGATTGGCCGTTAACATGCACCCCAGCCCTCCCCACCCCAGCAGTGCTCCCCACCGCTCGTTCGGCTTCTGAATCATGCCCGCCTTGGTCTCTGGGAAGCTGGAAAAAGATGGGAGAAAGGGGTAATATAAGAGATTGGCCGTTAACATGCACCCCAGCCCTCCCCACCCCAGCAGTGCTCCCCACCGCTCGTTCGGCTTCTGAATCATGCCCGCCTTGGACTCTGGGAAGCTGGAAAAAGATGGGAGAAAGGGGTAATATAAGAGATTGGCCGTTAACATGCACCCCAGCCCTCCCCACCCCAGCAGTGCTCCCCACCGCTCGTTCGGCTTCTGAATCATGCCCGCCTTGGACTCTGGGAAGCTGGAAAAAGATGGGAGAAAGGGGTAATATAAGAGATTGGCCGTTAACATGCACCCCAGCCCTCCCCACCCCAGCAGTGCTCCCCACCGCTCGTTCGGCTTCTGAATCATGCCCGCCTTGGTCTCTGGGAAGCTGGAAAAAGATGGGAGAAAGGGGTAATATAAGAGATTGGCCGTTAACATGCACCCCAGCCCTCCCCACCCCAGCAGTGCTCCCCACCGCTCGTTCGGCTTCTGAATCATGCCCGCCTTGGACTCTGGGAAGCTGGAAAAAGATGGGAGAAAGGGGTAATATAAGAGATTGGCCGTTAACATGCACCCCAGCCCTCCCCACCCCAGCAGTGCTCCCCACCGCTCGTTCGGCTTCTGAATCATGCCCGCCTTGGACTCTGGGAAGCTGGAAAAAGATGGGAGAAAGGGGTAATATAAGAGATTGGCCGTTAACATGCACCCCAGCCCTCCCCACCCCAGCAGTGCTCCCCACCGCTCGTTCGGCTTCTGAATCATGCCCGCCTTGGTCTCTGGGAAGCTGGAAAAAGATGGGAGAAAGGGGTAATATAAGAGATTGGCCGTTAACATGCACCCCAGCCCTCCCCACCCCAGCAGTGCTCCCCACCGCTCGTTCGGCTTCTGAATCATGCCCGCCTTGGACTCTGGGAAGCTGGAAAAAGATGGGAGAAAGGGGTAATATAAGAGATTGGCCGTTAACATGCACCCCAGCCCTCCCCACCCCAGCAGTGCTCCCCACCGCTCGTTCGGCTTCTGAATCATGCCCGCCTTGGACTCTGGGAAGCTGGAAAAAGATGGGAGAAAGGGGTAATATAAGAGATTGGCCGTTAACATGCACCCCAGCCCTCCCCACCCCAGCAGTGCTCCCCACCGCTCGTTCGGCTTCTGAATCATGCCCGCCTTGGTCTCTGGGAAGCTGGAAAAAGATGGGAGAAAGGGGTAATATAAGAGATTGGCCGTTAACATGCACCCCAGCCCTCCCCACCCCAGCAGTGCTCCCCACCGCTCGTTCGGCTTCTGAATCATGCCCGCCTTGGACTCTGGGAAGCTGGAAAAAGATGGGAGAAAGGGGTAATATAAGAGATTGGCCGTTAACATGCACCCCAGCCCTCCCCACCCCAGCAGTGCTCCCCACCGCTCGTTCGGCTTCTGAATCATGCCCGCCTTGGACTCTGGGAAGCTGGAAAAAGATGGGAGAAAGGGGTAATATAAGAGATTGGCCGTTAACATGCACCCCAGCCCTCCCCACCCCAGCAGTGCTCCCCACCGCTCGTTCGGCTTCTGAATCATGCCCGCCTTGGTCTCTGGGAAGCTGGAAAAAGATGGGAGAAAGGGGTAATATAAGAGATTGGCCGTTAACATGCACCCCAGCCCTCCCCACCCCAGCAGTGCTCCCCACCGCTCGTTCGGCTTCTGAATCATGCCCGCCTTGGACTCTGGGAAGCTGGAAAAAGATGGGAGAAAGGGGTAATATAAGAGATTGGCCGTTAACATGCACCCCAGCCCTCCCCACCCCAGCAGTGCTCCCCACCGCTCGTTCGGCTTCTGAATCATGCCCGCCTTGGACTCTGGAAAGCTGCGAAGAGATGGGGGTAAGGGGCATGTGAAGGGGTGGTGAATAGGGTCACGGCTACCATAACAGAAAGGGCTCTGGAGGATAGAGGAAGAAGACAGTAGAAATGGATGCACCCAATGATGAGAGAGTGACCCTACGTCAAGGAAAGCACTCACAGGAAGAAGGGGAACTTGGGCGAAGCGAAGATGGCGGGCCGACCGTCGGATCCTCGCCTCACATGGCCGACAGCTGTCAGCTCGTGATTGATTGGCAGCACCCTCTCGTCCGTCCGCAGGCCCACCTGGGGAAGGTACATATGGGGAGTGGTAATACTTATTCACCAACTCATTCATTCATACACAAAATGACATATGAGACAGGCAGCACCCTCTCGTCCGTCCGCAGGCCCACCTGGGGAAGGTACATATGGGGGAGTGGTATTACTTATTTACCAACTCATTCATTCTTACACAAAATGACATATGAGACAGGCAGCACCCTCTCGTCCGTGCGCAGGCCCACCTGGGGAAGGTACATATGGGGGAGTGGTATTACTTATTTACCAACTCATTCATTCATACACAAAATGACATATGAGACAGGCAGCACCCTCTCGTCCGTGCGCAGGCCCACCTGGGGAAGGTGTATGTGCGGAGTGGTACTCATTCATCAACTCATTTATTTGATTCATGCACGCAATGACAACATGAGGCTGACAGCACCCTCTCTTCCGTGCGCATGCGCACCTGGGGAAGGCATATGTGCGGAGTGGGATTCATTCATTCATTCATAATCGCAATGGGAAGATGGCGTACAAGCACATGCATGCCAGGATCTCCTCTGAGCATTTTGCAGAGAAAAAAACCCCAACATAAGTACATTAAGCACACGCGCAGCTCTTATATAAAAGTATACTCACCGGAAGGAACTTCCCTATAAGCATATGCAAGGATTTAGCATGGAGAGCAAACAGAAGGCGACTAGAAGTTCCTATAAGCATATGCATGGTTGATAAAGAGTACGTGCAGCCCTCATGGGGCGCCTCCCGGCACTCACTCACCGGCAGGCGCTTCCCTATAAGCACGTGCAGGGCGGTGGCGCCCCATGACGGGTCGGCCTTTTGCATGTGACTGTAGACGGTGTGCAGTGGCAGTGGCTGTGTGGCGCCCACCAATGAGATGTCGACACGTGGCGCTGACAGGTGTGAGGTATCTGCTAGAGAGAAAGGGACCTGCGGGGAAGTGGTGAGAGGGGAGAGAGAGAGAGATGAAGGGAGAACAAAGCGGATAATGCAAGAAGTGGTGATGGGGGGGAAAAGAAACAGGGGACGGTGAAGCGGGGGGGGGGAGGAGAGGAGAAATCGGGGAAGATGGATAGAAGAGGAGAGATGAGGCGAGGACAACATCAGAGGTATCAGCTGGAGCAGGCAAGGGAGAGGGCAGGAGAGTGAGGCGTTGGGGGGGACAGGGAAGGTGGGGAGAAGGATAGCCGAGGCGAGGGGGATGATAGGTAAGGCGAGGGGGATGATAGGTAAGGCAGCGGGGTGGGCAGAGGAAGGGAATCAAGAAAAAGGCTTGAAAATGGTAAGGCTTGTCATTATGGAAGGACAGGAGGGATGAAACAAAGCCATGTGGCAGAGAAAATGGTAGTCGGTGACGAGCGAGGGGAATGTGAGGAATGGAAAGGCAGGGGACGGGTGGACGCGAAGGGCAGGGTAAAGGCAGGAACGGAAGAGAGCTCACAGATTGTCTGACAAGGTTAACCTGTTCTGACTGAACGACCCAGCCCAGCAGCGGGTGCAGCTCCGAGTATAGCATCTGAAGCAAGGCAAGGCAGGGCAACAGCACGGGACTTCAAGAGGATGTCAGCTTTGTTTAGAAACGGATGATGAGGAGGAGCCTGGACTTGACAATGACAAGCCCAGCAGCGGGTGCAGCTCCGAGTATAGCATCTGAAGCAAGGCAAGGCAAGGCAGGACGCCAACAGAGTCCCGGGCGGAAGATTTTAACGAGGTGAATGTGGAGAGCCAAACGCTGACCTTGTTTTTTGAGACGTCTCAAACTCAAAAGTTCCGAGACGTCTCAAAAGGTGAATGTGGAGAGCCAAACGCTGACCTTGACAAGCCCCTTCCTCTTCCCCCCTTCCCACCCACCCACCCACCCACCAGAGGACACTCATCCGCATCCTGACACCTCCCACCCGCCCACTCACCACGTCTGACCGCTCCACCACAGCGCATGGCTGCTTGGCGCCGTGCATGGGCAGCAAGGGGGTTGAACAGCACAGAGCATTTGCACTCATTCCCACACCTCCTTACCACGTCTGACCGCTCCACCACAGCGCATGGCTGCTTGGCGCCATGCACTGGAAGCAGCGGAGAGCAGCCTGGCCCAGCTCCAGCAGCTGGAGGAGAGCCCAACTCTATCCCTGACCCCTGCCCTCCCCCCACCGCCCCAGACCCTTTCCCCGCCCCTAACTTGGGGAACGAGAAGGAGAGCGGAGAGGAAGAGGAGGTGGAGGAGGAGGAGGGGGGAGAAGGCGAGGAGGAGAGCTGCACGGATCCCCTGACGAGCACCAGCTCGTGGGGGTTGGTGTAATCCGCTAGCTCACTCGCATCTGACGGGCCCCGGCCCAGCTCACGTTGCCCCCATGCTGCTGCTGACTGGCTTGACGACCCTTCGTCGCTCTTGCTTCTTCCCACGGGTAACAGCCATTTCAACCCGCCACTGCTGCTGCTGCTGCTACTGCTGCTGGTGCCACCACCAGTGGTGCCACCAACGCTGCTGTCGCTGCGGACGCTGAGACTGCTGCTATCATCCTTCCCTGGCCTGCTCTCTCTGCCTCCATTTCCCCGCCATAGGCGTGTGAAGTACCCACTACTTTCACCGCTGCCATTACTCCTCTTATCCCCGCTACTGCTGCTACCTCCCGCACCGTCAAATCCCCCCCCGCCTGTCCCGCTGGCCTGCTCCGGCGCGCGCCTGAACCACCGCCGCCACCCGCCGCTTCCGCCAGCCTTTCCCCCGGCCGCGCGGGGAAACTCCGAAGCTCCGCCTCCGCCGCCCGCCGGCGGAATCCCGTTGAGTTCCGCGATGGTCGTTTCGCGCGCGGATTTGAGCGCCTTGAGCGAGCGCGACACGCCGTAGAGCTGCCACCAGGCCTGCGTCGCGCTGCCGGCGATTAAGAGGCCGAATAATACCTCCTCCTGCGCGAGAAGCGCGCGGAGGAGCGCTACCCAGCTTCCGCCGCCGCCTGACGCGCCGTAATCCGCGCCGCCGGACGACGTCATTCACGAGGAAGACGTGTGGGATACAGAAAGGACGAATATTTCTTGTCTACTGATTCGAAAACAAGAACGAGAGCGCTTTGTACAGTTACTTGGCAATATACCTTATTTGGCTAGCTACATGTAGTGTACCGTACATGACTATTATATGTAGGATATTGTATATGGCTACTATATGTAGCGTATGGTGACTAGGTATTTTACACTTGGAGCTTGACTGAGAGCCTTAGGATCCACAGCAGCGAGCGACGTGACTAAGGTGCCAAGGCTAGAACTACCAGTTTGACGCGAAACATCGAGAAAAGGGGAAAAAAAACGTATACGACGTCACGGACGCAGCGTGATAGGTACCCGTTGAATGAAGCGAAACGGAACACAAGCAAGCAAACAGCAGCAGAACGAGCTATGAGGAAATGGAAACGCGAATGGAATCCCAACGTTGGCAGCGGCCTTTCAGGCGCTTCCTCTGGGCAATTATACGTGTACTTTGACCTCGCTGGGGTCCGAGGGCGCATTCCCAGCATCGCGTCTGACGTCTCTACCGCATCACGTTCGTTTCAAACCGCGACACAAGACGACAATTACAAGTGAATCAACATCTGCACCGCAAAATACCGAGCAATAAGAACGTGAGATGTTTGAGACGCGAAGGAAAAATCGCTGATTGAAATGCGATGCGAATATTTCCGCTCATCCCTCAATTTCAGCTCGTCAGGGGTTTTCTCGCCCTAGATTTCGGCTCGTTTTGCGTGCTCTCAGTTATCCGCGTTTCCTGTCAAGACCACGTACCCCGCTTTTTGTTTGGTGCTCTGCGTTTCAAAGCGGTATCTTAACATGAAAAGTGGGGAAAATAAAAACAAAAGTTAATCCAGTCAACTTGAGAGGGTTCTAGACTAGCGTCTCCACCTAAATGTTTCTAAGTTTATGGCATATACACAAACTAAGAGGATTCAGCATGGTGCAAGGAAGCATGTGCATTCTTATGCGCAATGTGAAAAGGGGTCAAACATATGTAAGAGGTGGGAGAAGATGAAAGCCCATCAGGGTGCCTCAACAGTAGCAGGTGCATTTTCATCCGCCAATGCAGGAATGGAGTCGAGCGTTGGCAAGAACTTGGGTGGAAGCGGAGGAGAGAGCACTTGTGCCGTGTGACCGATGGCGTTCTTTTCTCGGAGCTCACATAGGTCTGCCTTTTCTGCGGCCATGCGTGCCTGTGGAGGATGGGAGAGGACAGAGTCAAGATGGGAGAGGAGAGAAGTGAGGAAAATTGAGAGGGGAGCGAGAGGAGGGGAGAGAGGGTAGGGGAGAGGGGAAGGGAGAGGGTGGGTGAGAGCAGGGACGGGAGAGGTGGGGAGAGGAAAGGGGCTTGCATTGACAGCAAGCCAAGAAACCATGTCATACTTCAACATTCAAAAAGCAAGTGGCAAACTTGCACAAGCCCCCAGCGCACTGAGCATCAAAGTCACCAAACATTATTTTAGCCTCTCAAAAACACCCTGAGCACAGGTGTTACAAGGGGTGTTACCGATCCCAGTACTCACTTGAAACTTGAGATCGCTGATCTCATCCTCCCAGCCTTGATCCTGAGCTTGAGCGAGCTCAGAGCAGCAAGGGTTACACCCCGAGCAAACAAGTCACCAAGCCCAGCTACTCACCTGGAACTTGAGGTCGCACACTGCTGCTTCCACCACTGCTGCTGCTGCTCTCACCGCCGTTCTCTGTATCTGCTGCACCCTCAGTTATCTGCATGGGCAGAGAGGTACAGATGGAGCAGATTGCCATGTGAAACTCATAGCAATCCACGCATAGCTACGGCAGCAGCATGTGAAATATATTTATGTGGCGCCTCGAAGACAGAGGCACAGAGGGAGCAGAGTGCCATGTGAAACTCAAAACGAGTTTCACGCATAGCTGCTGCAGCATGTCAAATCCGCGTCAAAGCAATGAGCTCAGTTGAAGTGAGTGAGGTGACTCGTAGCGAGAGAAATGCAACTGGGTCGTGAGGACGTGGCACTGACCTGGAGGACAGCTTGGCAGACAGTGAGCAGCTTCTGTGCCACGTCAGCACTGCCCCTCTCCACCTCCTGCAATAAAGGGGAACCCGGGTATGCAGGGAGCAGAGAAACACAGTTTGACCAAATGGGCAGCTTGGGGGGGTCTTCAGCCCTATAGGGGAAGAGGGGAGGAGGGAAGAGGCAGCAGTTGGACCGCCACCACCCACCACCCACCACCCACCTCCAGTCGCTGCTGCAGCCTCGCCTCCTCATCATAGCCAATCAATCCTCTCCGCCTGTCCCGCCCTTGCCCCTGTGCTAACCCCTGGTTCTACACTCGCACTCCTCCCTTCCCCTTACCCACCTACCCACCTCCTGTCGCTGCTGCAGCCTCGCCTCCTCATCATAGCCAATCTTCTCCGCCTGCCCCCCCTTCCTCTCATGCTGGTATGACATTTGAGAATTCTCAAAAGCTACACAACCCCACCTTTAGACGGACCCATCACCACTGCTTACCTCCAGTCGCTGCTGCAGCCTCGCCTCCTCATTAAAATCAATTTTCTCTGCCTGCCCCGCCTTGCGCCTGTGCTAACCCCTCTGGTGCTACATCCCACCACCACCACCAACACTATCACCCACCTCCAGTCGCTGCTGCAGCCTCGCCTCCTCATCAAAATCAATTCTCTCTGCCTGCCCCGCCTTCTTCCTGTGCCGCCCCACCTCCTCCTCCAGCCGCTTCACTCGCAACTCCATGCGCTTCACTGCTGCTGCCATCTCCTCGTTCTGCGCCCTCAGAGTGCTGTTCTCCACCTGTGTGAGGGGGAAAGGAGGTCGTCAGAGATGGGGGAAGGAGAGGAGGGGTTGGGATTGTGGCTTCACCCGCCCTTCCATGCGCTTCACTGCTGCTCCAAGCTCCTCGTTCTGCGCCCTCAGAGTGCTGTTCTCCACCTGTGCAAGAAAGAATCATAGGGGAGGGGGGGGAAGCGTGGAGGGAGTGTGGGGGAGGAAAAAGGCGAAGGGTGGAAGGGAGAGAGGAGTTGAGAGAGTGGCTTCACCCGCCCCTCCATTCGCTTCACTGTTGCTGCCAGCTCCTCGTTCTGTGCCCGCAAAGCGCTGTTCTCCACCTGTGTGGGGAGAGGGGGGAACGCAGGGGAGGAGACAAGCGGTTGAGACAGTAACTTCACCCGCCCCTCCATATGCTTCACTGTTGCTGCCAGCTCCTCGTTCTGCGCCCTCAGAGCAACGTTGTCCGCCTGAGCAGGTGGAAGGTTTAGTTTTGAGTGAACTCAAAAGTAAGTTTAGTTTTGAGTGAACTCAAAACTCAGCTCCTCGTTCTGCGCCCTCAGAGCAACGTTGTCCGCCTGAGCAGGTGGAAGGTTTAGTTTTGAGTGAACTCAAAAGTAAGTTTAGTTTTGAGTGAACTCAAAACTCAGCTCCTCGTTCTGCGCCCTCAGAGCAACGTTGTCCGCCTGAGCAGGTGGAAGGTTTAGTTTTGAGTGAACTCAAAAGTAAGTTTAGTTTTGAGTGAACTCAAAACTCAGCTCCTCGTTCTGCGCCCTCAGAGCAACGTTGTCCGCCTGAGCAGGTGGAAGGTTTAGTTTTGAGTGAACTCAAAAGTAAGTTTAGTTTTGAGTGAACTCAAAACTCAGCTCCTCGTTCTGCGCCCTCAGAGCAACGTTGTCTGCCTGAGCAGGTGGAAAGAAACGGAAAAATGGAGGTGGAAAGGGAAAGCAAGGGGGTTCGCGATGGCGTGGATTCACGTCCCCTGCTACACAACACAATTCGCTGCTGCTGCTAGCCGCGCCAGCTCAACCCACCCTCAGCCTGGAAAACACTTGCACTGGTTCAGGCTGTGGTATTAAACCACCCTCCACACCCCCACACACCTTGAGCTTGAATGCGCTGGTTTAGGCTGTGCTGCCCCACCAGCATCTGCAGTTCACCCCACTCTAATCTGGAATAGCCATCCTTCCCTTAATCTCGTACCTTGACCTTGGAAAACACGTGCAGCACAAGCTGAAGGAAGGATGACTATTCACGATAAATCTAGCACTGCTTCGGCTTGTGCTGCACCACCAGCCGCGCCAGTTCGTGAGGTGACACCCGAGTCAACTCAAAGGTCTCCCCATTCACACCCCTCCACACCCTAACGCACCTTTACCTTGGAAAACGTGTGAATGCGCAGTTTTGGATTGTGCTGCCCCACCAGCCCCGCCGGCTCCCTCTCTCTTTTCTTCCAACATCAACCCACCCTCAACTTGGAAGATCGAACCCTCTGTCTATGCCTCACCTTGACCTTGGAAAACGTGTGAATGCGCTGTTTCGGGTTGTGCTGCCCCACCAGCCCCACAAGCTCGCCCTCTGCCTTCTCCAACTGCTGCTGCACGCCCTCCAGTTGTTGCTGGGGTGGGGTAGAAAGATGAGCGAAAGGAAAGGAGAAGAGAAGAGAAAACAAAGGGTGACGGGACGAACAGGAGAGGCCAAACCCGAGTATCTCCCTCGCCAGCACACTCCACCTTCTCCAACTGCTGCTGCACGTCCACCACTTGTTGCTGGGTTAGGGGAAGGAGCCACGAAAAGGGGAAGAGACAAAAGAACCATCAATCAAGAAAATGGTTCACACCGGCCTCTCCATTTCGCCCTCTGCCTCCTAACAACTGCTGTTGCACGCCCTCCAGTTGTTTGCTGGTGGGGGAGGAGAGAGGAGGGTGGAAGGGATGTTTTCTGTTGAACCACTGCCTTGCGCTGTTTGTTGAGGCGCCTCAAAAATCTGTTGAACCACTGCCTTGCGCTGTCGCTCTGGCTGCCACTGCTGCAGTGCAGTGCCTGCTGCTGCACTGCACCAAAAGACAGTTTCTAAGACGCCCTAGAAGCACAATCTCACGCTGAGCACTCTCCTGGAAAAGCGCCTGGTCCCTCTCCCAGTAATCCGCTCCGCCATGCTCCTCTGCAGCACTGCATGCCGCAGATGCTGACCGCTTCTGACCGCTGCACTGATTGCTGCTGTGC